CCGAGAGGCACGAAGCGGGGACCCCTCTGGCGGAGTATAGTACAAACTCCGATCTCGTCGCAGAATGTGAGAAGGGAGGGAGCGAGGAGGGGAAGAGAGTCGAGAGGGGAGCTGAAGGCACGGTCAAAGAGAAAGGTTTTGAGACCGGCCTTGAAGGAGGAAAGGGAGGAAGCAAGGCGAAGGCACTGGGGATGGAGTTCCAGAGCCTGGGGCTGAGAGGCTGAAGGCCCGACCACCGATGGTAGGGCGGTTGGGGCGGGGGACGTGGAGCAGACCGGAGCCAGAGGAACGGAGGGTACGGGCAGGTAGGTAGGGGGATAGTAGGTTGGAGAGGTAGGAGGGAGCAAGGCCGTGAATGGCCTTGTAGGTGAGGATGAGGATCTTGAAATCAATCCTCTGGGGGATGGGGAGCCAGTGGAGGCGAGCGAGGGTGGGAGTGATGTGGTCCGAAGCCTGGTGCGGGACAGTACACGAGCTGCAGAGTTCTGAATGACCTGCAGCTTGTGGAGGGAGGTGGCGGGAAGGCCGGCGAGGAGAGAGTTCCCATAGTCCAGCCTTGAGGTGACAAAGGCGTGAACCAGGGTTTCAGCAGCGTGAGGGGTGAGGTAGTGCCGTAGTCTGGCGTTCCGGAGGTGATGGAAGGCGGTGCCAGTTGTGGTGCGGATGTGAGGGAGAAAGGACAGCTCAGGGTCGAACAAAACGCCGAGGTTCCTGACTGGCTTTGAGAGGTGGAGAGTGCAGCCTTGGATGCTGATGGTGTCAGCGCCTGAGGTGCGGAGGCGCTGACGTGAGCCAATCAGGAGGGCCTCGGTTTTTCGCACGTTGAGCTGAAGAAAGTTGTCTCTCGTCCAGGACTCGATGTCGGACAGGCAGCTGTCAGGACATCGGTGGTCGTGGAGTTGAGAGTAGAGGAGGAAAGGTAGAGTTGGGTGTCATCCGCATACATGTGGAAGTTAACATGTCTGCGGATGATGTCACCGAGGGGGAGCATATAGAGGGTGAAGAGGAGGGGACCGAGGACAGAGCCCTGAGGGACACCACATGAGACAGTACGGGGGGTGGAGGAGAAGCCATTCGTGAGACAAAGTGAAGACGGTGAGAAAGGTACGACCTAAACCATTCAAGGACAGTGCCTTGAAGGTTGAGGTGGGAGGACAAGCGGTGGAGTAGGATAGCGTGGTCGACCGTATCGAATGCTGCCGATAGGTCGAGGAGGACGAGGAGACAGAGGGAGCCCTGGTCACAGATGGTCAGGATATCATTGGTGACCTTGACCAGGGCAGTTTCTGTGCTATGGGCAGCACGGAAACCTGACTGAAGGGGTTCAAAAGAGAATGGGTGGAAAGGAAAGAGCGCAGTTGGGAGGCGACAACTCTTTCCAAGACCTTGGAGAGAAAGGGGAGGTTGGAGATGGGCCGGTAGCTTGATAGCTGCGACGCATCAAGGGAGGGTTTTTTCAGGGTGGGCGTGATGATGGCAGTTTTTAATGGAATGGGGACAGAGCCAGAGGAGAGGGACAGGTTGATGATGTCAGTGATATGTGGGGCAAGAAAGTGGAGCTGGGAGATAAGGAGTGGAGTGGGGATGGGGTCAAGGGAGCAGGTGGTTGGTTTTAGGGATAGGATGAGTTCAGTGACAGAGGGTGGGGAAACGGGTACGAAGGTGTGTAGGGGAGGATGGGTAGGAGTCGGAGTGTGGGAGGGAAGGGGTGGGTGGTGGGTGGAAGTTGGAGGGGAAGTGACCGCGGAGCGGATTCCCTTGATCTTGGATTCAAGGAAATCCAGCATCTCCTCGCAGTGAAGGTTGGAGGAGATGACCTGCGCGGGGTGGCGGGGGGGACGGAGGAGTCGGGTTGTGGTGGAAAACAGTAGCCTGGGGTTGTTCTTCGCCTCCAGGATTATCCTGGAGTAGAAGGACGACTTGGCCGAGGCTAGAGTGGAGCGGTAAATTTTGAGGAGGTCCAGCCAGATTTGTCGGTGGACCGTTAGGCCAGATTTGACACAGGTGCGTTCAGCAGCCCGCACCTGGCTTTTCAGTGAGCGGAGGTGGGTGGTGTACCAGGGGGAGGAGCGGGAGTAGGAGACAGTGCGGGAAGTGATGGGGGCAAGAGTATCGAGTGTGGAGGAGAGGGTATTGTGGAGGAGGGAGAGAGGAGAAGAGGGGTCGGTGAGGGTTGAAGGCCAGAGGGAGAGGAGTTCAGAGGACTCCAAGGCATCGGTTAGGGATTGTGGGGGTAACTTCTTCCAAGGGCGGTAGAAGATGGTGGTGGGTCTGGTGGAGGTGGGGAGGGGGGTGGAGGTGGTGAAGGAGATGAAGTAGTGGTCAGAGATGGCCTTGTCGGTAATAGTGACATCCGAGACACTGAGGCCCCGGGTGATCACCAAATCGAGTGGGTGGCCGTGACTGTGAGTGGGGGAGTTTATGTGTAAGGAGAGGTTGAGTGAGGAGAGCAGGGAAGAGAAGTCTGTGGAGATGGAGCAGGAGGGGTGAAGTGTAGGTTAAAGTCGCCCAGGATGATGAGGCGATCAGAGCAGAGGCAAAGAGATGTGAGGAGTGTTGAAATGTCAGAGATGAAGGTGGGAGAGGTTTTAGGGGGCCGGTAGAGGAGGAGGATTTTAAGGGAGAGGAATGAGGGGTGGGAGAGGGTGAGGTGCTCAAAGGAGGGGAAAGAGCCAGTGGAGTAGGGGGATAGGGCAAGTGGTGTCCTTGAGATAAGGGCAACACCACCGCCACGGCGGTTGGGGCGGGGGATGTGGTGGGAGGTGTAGCCGGGTGGCGTGGCCTCCGTGAGGGGGAAGGTGTCGCCTGGGGTGAGCCAGGTTTCTGTTAAGGCCATGATATCAACGTTCTCATCAAGGATGAGATCGTTGATGACCAGGGCCTTGTTGCAGAGGGAGCGGACATTTTGCAGTCCGATGTGGAGGGAGCGGTTGACAGAAGGGTGTGTGGGAGGGGAGGGGGGTCCAGGTTGTGAGGCAGGGGTGGGGGAATGGGGATGAGGGAGGAGAGGTTGACTCCCCGGGTCTGTGTCCGGGGTGGGTGGCGAGTGTGGTGGGGAATGGGGCAGTCGGTGTGGCTGCTGCTGGACAGCCAACGCCGAGTGCCGCGGTGCGCCCGGCGGAGGATTCCCAGGGTGGAACAGAGGGAGGTTGTGGGAGGGTCAAGTGGGGATAGAAGGCGAGAGGGACGGAGAGAGAGGAGGAGAGACCCACAATTTTACATCTGTATAGGCTATTGCTTATCATGGTGATGGGTTTTGCCTCTGGGTTAGGTTTTGGGTTCAAGACCCACATCACAGTCTAGGTTGACACTCCAGTGTCCTTCAATAAGACATTAATTTATGTGAGAAAAACAGAGAGAGGATTCAAAGTGGCTGTAGTTGTTATTTTACCTGATTTGTGTGCATGGCTAATAAAGCCTTGTTGATTTCCACTGTCTGCAGTTGTTTCTTGGTGAGCTTATGTTCCACCCCTTCTGTGTTGGTCAGTTTCACTTTTTTCTTTGAATCAAAAACATTTTGGTCCTGCAAGAAACCATTTCAAGAATTAAACAGAAGGGTCAAATTGCAAATGTGAAACTGGCAATCGTAATTTACAAAGATCGTTTTATTAAAAAAACAAGATGTAGGGAGAGGAGAGGAAGGCCTCACCTCAGTTTAGAGTTAATCGTGGACAGCTAGACAATTTTTTATTTTAATTTGATGAATGTGAAGTCAGAATAGAAAGTAACAGTCTAATGAGATAACTTGATTTTGCACAAAAAGCCAGGTTCAAGTGAAAGTGATGACACTTGGAATATTGCTCTGTGCAACTCCTGTGTTTTCTATTAAAAGTCCTGTTTCTCTCCCAGATTTGCAGAAGCAAAAGCTCAGGAGTAACTAGGTCTCAGCTCTCAGTGGAAGATCATGACAGCAGAAATACTAAATAAAGAAATAAATGTCTCAAGGACACGTTAGCTGATGTGATTGTTGTGGTTATTGGAAAATAAGATATTGTGTTTGGTGAAGTAAACAATGCTGGAAATAATCTAAATATTACAATATAATAATGTGGTCACTCAATCCGCGACTGTTTATGGGACGTCGCTGTGCGCAATTGGCTGCCACGCTTCGCCCACAAAGCAGTCGCTACACTTTGCAGTATATCCTATGAAGCGCTTTGAGACACCTTGACAATGTGACAAGGCGCTATATCAAATGTAAGGATTATTATTATTACCATCTTTATTCCCAGTTTTACTGAGAAACACAACATTGATTATGATTGACAGCTAGCGCACAGAGCAAAGAGACGGGAGAAAAGACCGCACCTCATCAAGACAGAGGTGGCAAATGGGCATTGGCACAAGAACCTTCTGCCTCTTTCTCATGGTATAAATTTTTCTGAACAAGAGTTGCACTCCCGAAAATGCACAGATGCAGACCCTGAGATAGCAACTGTGGAAATCTACAGACCATTTAAGCGGTCAGTTCTCTTTACAAAGTACAATTGTATAACATTGTACATTTTGTGCAAAAAAAAAAACAGCAGAACCTCCAGTTTCAGAACATCAATAAATCATAAACATAAACCGTGCAATCCAAGTGTCATCACCTTCACTTGAACCTGGCTTTTTGTGCAATAAACAGCAGCACAAGTTATCTCATTAGACATTAGACTGTTACTTTGCATTCTGACTTCACATTCATCAATTTAAAATAATTGAAACCAAATGGTGGTGAATTTTTCATGGCGATTCAGAGTGATGTTTGCAGTGAAGAGCAACATACCTGTAAAAACTAGGACTTGTAACAGAAGCTTTTAATAAATATGATGCCCAAACACCCCAGGCTGGCCGGAGGACCATGTGTGCAGGGTGGGGGGGTAACAGCTAGGTATGAATTCCGAATACCTGTAAACTGGTGATTTACTATAGTGCCTGTCACATGTCACATTGCTTCGGGAGGCCGTCCCAAGGGCTGGTCAGTCCAGGGTTTGCACCCTGACATCTGCACTTCCACCGCCTGCATTCTCACCCACACTAAAGACCATATCTCCATTACCCCAGTCCTTGTCAAACTCCATTGGCTCCCTGTCACAGAGTGTGAAGGGCGCTATATAAATCCAAGTTGTTGTTATCGTTGAACTTAATCAAATTCTGACCAAGGCAGACGTGACAGCGCTCTCACTCTCCACTAAGTCCACCCTGAACACATCAGGACAATGAATTACCTTGTTTAGTGTAATAATGTTATTGGCAGTCACAGCCAGGAGTCCAACATCTGAGGGCCTGCAGAGGAAGAAATAAAATGCAGTTGACTCTCTTAGTTCACTCAGAATGACTTTACATAAGAACAAAAGAAATGCTAGACAAAAAAAAAGACCAAGGTCCATCTAGTTCACCTTCCATCTTCCTGGTGGGCGCATGCACACACGACCCAAACTACCGATGTGCTACATCCCATAATGTTATTTCCTGAAAGAAAACTATCTCATCTGTGTTAGAAGGAATCAACATTTCCTGCTTTAACCGTCTCCCTCGGGAGCCTGTTCCACAGGTTTACTATTCGCTCACTGATATAGCGTTTCCGTAGAATAAGAGTCCCTGAGAGTGAGATTTCACACCATGTGTGTTGCTTACTTCAGTTTGATGACTTGATTGTAGAGCTGCAAAGCCTCATCTGTTCGCCCCTGAAGCTGCATTACATATGCCATCTGAGCGTGGATTATAGCCAACTCAGCATCAATGTCCTCATCAGTCATATCCTGCACAAGGTAGCCACCAGTCAGTTATGAGGGCAAGATTTTACAATATTTCAGGAGAGAAATTGTTTAAATTCAATTGTTTAAAGTGAGATCAAGATTTTGAAACATTTTATAAAGCATCTTGAAGCGCTCCGAGACATCATTTGGTGCAACGAGCGCTATATAATTGCGTTCTTGTTGATAACAAGATGAAACACACTGTATTCCCAACGTTCCCATCAAGCTTATCGCCAGAAAGTAGGTCCCAGAATCTTAGTTAAGATTAACTATTACAATAATAATAATTACATTCCAATCATTTTAATTGACCAGAAAAGATGATATAGGACAGCAAATGGGTTTAAATCAGTGACAGTGAGTTTGTACTCTTGATTCCCACATAGATTCAGAGAATCTTACAGTGCAGGAGGCCATTTGGCCCATTGTGCCTGTGTCGGCTCTTCAGAAGAGCTACCAACTACCAACTCCCCATATCCTTGCAAATTTTTCCTCTTCAACTACCTATCAAATTCCCTTTTGAAAGTTGTTATTGAATCTGTTCCCACCACCCTTTCAGGCAGTGCATTCCAGACCGTCGCAACTCTCTGAGTAAAAACTTTTTGGGGGGCAATAATCTTGATTCTATGTCCCCTGGTTACCGACCTACCTCCATTAGAAACAGTTCTCCCTATCTACTCTATGAAAACTCCACATAATTTTGAACACCTCTATTAAATCTCCCCTCAACCTTCTCTGCTCTAAGGAGAACAATTCCAGCTTCTCTAGTCTCTCCACATAACTAAAGTCGTTCATCCCTGGTACCATCCTGGTAAATCTCCTCTGCACCCTCTCCAAGGCCTTGAGTGTGGTGCCCAGAACTGGACACAATATTCCTCCTGAGGCCTAAACAGTGATATAAAAGTTTAGCAGAACTTCTTTGTTTTTGTATTCTATGCCTCTATTTATAAAGCCAAGGATTCCAGATTTTTTTTTTAACAGCTCTTATCAACCTGTTCTGCCACCTTCAGAGTGTGTGGATTATTGTCCTTCATGACGTTTCTAAGCCTAGCATCACCATTGTGAGAGGAAGCAGTCTTTTCCCTGCAAGGAATGGATATAGATGTTACCTCCAGCCACTCTCAGCACCTTCTAAGAAAGCATTAGCAGAGGTCTAAACATTACGTGGGCATAGGTCAGAAACTGATTAGGGGGAAAGGAACAGTCCAGAGTTTGCACCCTGACATCTGTAAGGGGAAGGGAGGCACATATACTGTAAACTGAGCTAGACAAGCATTCACACTTCTGTGGGGCTGAAGGAGAATAATTTAATAAACTACTATTTCTATTTCTGAATGTTGTGCAGATTTGGTCAACTCATGAAAAACCTTGTCCCATTTACAAGGTATTAATAAAAGGTGGTAAACATCAGGGATTAGGTATTACAGAGGATTTGAAAAGTCCTTTCACTCTGGGTTAGGTTCAAATCTAGCTGGTGTGATGAAAGTCTCTCTGCATAGTTGTGGGCTACTCCCCATCGACGAACGGATCAATTTCAAGATCCTCACACTCATTTTCGAATCGCCCTGGCATCTCCCTACTTCTCTGACCTACTTACCCCCTAATCCACAACCCGCAGCCTCCGCTCGACTGGCACCGGCCTTCCCTCGTGCCCTCCGTTCCACTATTGATGGCCGCACTTTCAGCCACTACCCCTAAAACTCTGGAACACTCTCCCCCTATTGCTCTGCCTTGCCCCCTTGCTTCCCCATGTTCAGGTTGCGCCTGAAGACCTTCCTATTTGACCTGTGCTTACGGTCACCTCCCTCTCCCCCAGCTCAGCGTCCTGCTCCACCACTGTCAAGCGCTCTGGGAAGCTACCCTGCATGAGGGGCGTTGTATAAATGCAAGTTGTTGTTGAAATTAGTTTTGGTAATTTGAATCCAGATCTGACCGGACGTTGGACCACAGGATAAAGCCGACCCTAATTCAACAAAGTCCTTGGAGAGATTGCAATAAGATTTGCTTCTCTGCGAAGTGGGAACAATCTACCACCCTGGATCATGTTAGCAAGTTCCCATGAGGATGAACAGAATAAAGAGTTTTACTCAACAGTACTCACATTAATCCTCTTGGAAAAGGCAGGATTCAGACCCTCAAAATAAAAACAATATAGACTTGTTGATCACAAGTTGTATGTTTATGTGCCATCAAGTTTCCAGTTCTCCTTAAAACTGCCAAGAGGTACGAGTCTATTGAAAAATCCTCTAAAAGACTGCTGTTCATGTTGGTGACAAGAAGCAACTAGAACAAAATATTGTGCAATTGCACAATCAAATAGTTCAATAAAACACTGAAAATGAAATGGGCCACACAAACAAGAATGTTTAATGATCCCTAGAGCTACTAAAGTTACTGATTTTTGGAGGCATCAAGACTCCAGTCTCTCATTTTGCATCTTTTATTAAACTATTCAAACACAAGAATGAGCAATATTTTGTTGTAGGTAGGTTTCTTGGAGTCCTTGGTCATTAGAGTACTGTAACTCAGTAGTTAAGAGTACTCGCCTCGCAAGCAAGAGTTCCTGGGTTCGATTCCCGGTAGGGTGAAACTGGACAAGTTACTTACTCCACACGCCGTAGTTTACCTAGCAGTAAGTAGGAACCTAATTTAACAAGTTCCTTGGAGAGATAGCAGTTGTTAGTCGATTGGCGGATCGCTTTTCTGGGGGGTAATAATCCCTTCAATAAATAAATAAACAATAATTCGGTCACTTAATCCATGACCATTTGTGAGACACTGCTGTACGCAATTGGCTGCTGAGTTTTGCCCACAACATATACAGGCAATTTACTTTACAGTATATTCGTCTTGAAGACCTGATAAGGCGCTACATCAAATGCAAGGATTATTATTATTACGAACATGACTACAATATTGTGAAACTCATTAGACTACAATGTTTTGGCACTTTCTTAATCAGTTCTCCCTGGAATATTCTCCAAAGACTCTCGAAGCATATGCTACAGATCTATTTGCAGATACTTCGGATACCAATGATAATTCGAGCACCAAAACACAGAATTTTACCCCAAACAAACTTGTCTGCCTTTCACCCCCCACTCCTCCCCACCGCCTTGCTCAATCAGTTACATTGCTATTGTGCAAACAATCAGCCAGGAGCAAAGGTAAATGCAGTGAGATTGAGAAGAACCATCATAACAAATACTCACAGTATCTTCAGAAAATGACTGACGGCACAATTCTGAAATAAAAGAAGTGCGATTATAAAACACAAGAGTTCTCTAGAAACATTTAATGACCATATCTAATGTTTTTCAAAACTCTGCTGCTCGCATTCTCTCCCGCACTAAACTCCGTACCTCCATTACCCCAGGTCGTCAAACTCCATTGGCTCCGTCACAGAGCAGATCAATTTCAAGATCACCCCCCGCCCCCCATCTCTCCAACTTGCTCACTTTCTACACCACTACCTGCTGCCTCTGCTCAATTGGAAACTATCTCCTCTTGTCCCCTGGACCCTCTGCCTCACCATCGGCAACCGTGCTTTCAGCCACTACACCCCGAAGCTGTAGAACTCTCTCCCTCAATCCCTCAGCCTTGCCCCCTCTCCCCATTTTCAGGTCACGCTTGCAAACCTTCCTCTTCGACCATGCCTACGGTCACTTTCCCCTCCCCTGGCTCGTCATCGATCTCCGCCACTATTAAGTGCTCCAAGACTCCATCCGGCGTGAAGGGCGCGATATAAATCCAAGTTGTTGTTGTTATGACCCCTACAGCAGGTCCTAATATTTTACCTTCAGCTTCCTGAAGTTTCTTCATAGCTTTGGCTAGCTTGCCTTCACCAATCAAAGTACAAGCGGCATTGTAACACAGCTCATAGGAAGTCTCAGGTAAGCCCAAATCTTCCTGTGAAATAAAATAAAAGTGTGTCTCACATTATTTTTTCCCCAAAAGAACCTGATTGAATACATTAGCTCCTAAAACGTCAACTTCTCACAAAGTTCAGATATCGCAGACAACATACTCCATGTTTGTATTTTCTGTCGCCTCCATTCTTACTAATCTGCGTAATTCACTAAGTAATGGTCATCTTACCCTCATGCTCACTCGGTCATTAACTTACAAAATACAGTCAATCCACTTTACAGTATATCGTGTGAAGCGCTTTGAGACGTCTCAACGACATGATAAGGAGCTAAATCAAATACAAGCATTATTATTTTAGCTTAGGAAAGCGTCAGCAGCCAACAATACAATTGGGCACACAATGGCTGATGCCTAACCGATATCATGGATGCATTTTCTAGCCAAAATCACCAGATAATAGTAAGGTGCAGGAACCCTCACGGTTAGTTTTAGCTCTGGGTAATACTAGCAGCCTGCTACTGCAACTACTGTGTCAGCCTGCCTCAGTGATAGTAATCTCACAAGGGAAGTAAATAAAACATAAAAATAGTGATATATAGAATTTCAATACCATAAAGACCTCCTTGGGGGGGTTATGGTGCTAATGATTGTCCTTCTCCTGCCAGAACACCAAAGCCGAACTTTGATTCAGGTTCATAGATAAGAAAGTCACCGGGCTTGTGTTAAAAAGCTTTTCTCTCAATGGAGACACTGGTGTCCTGTGCTGGAACTCTACACATAGATTTCAGGTGGGAAACAGAATTAATCTTGACTGTGTGCCTTCGCACATTTAAACTGCCTGCTGTGATTCAGTGAGAAGTCTCACACATGAAAAAAATAGTCACTCAAATGAGGTAATAACAATTTACACTGTGATACTTACTGGAGAGGAATTCTCCCAGGTACTTAATGCTGCCACAACAGCAGACAAGTTAGTCTTCCTTTCCTCCTCATAGTCATCTTGCGAGTTTCGAATCAAGTCTCGATAAACTGACAAACATTCCTCGTACCGTTCCAACCTGTATAACTGAAGTTACAAATACCCACGTAAAGTAACAGCTTAACAAAAGGCTACAGATAGATTTTGATCAATAATTGGCCAAAGGAAGCAAGATCATTAGAGCTAACAAAATTATAAGCACAGCTTTCCTTTTTGGTGTGTTCTGCATAAGTGTGAGGTTATTTTTGAACAGTTAATATGAAATAATTCTAGCGTTTGATACAGAGCTTTACCAAGTTGTTGAAACAGCTCAAAACACTTCACAGGATTTTCTGAGAGGTGTAGGTCGACTGTTCTAGTAGGTGACCACAGCAACCAATGTGCACAGCAATGTCCCAAAAATGGAGCGAGCGACCAATTTTATTTGGGGGATTGTTGGTCAGGACACCGGGAGAGAGAAACTCCCTTCTCTTTTCGAATAGTGCCATGGGATCTTTAACATCCACCTGAACAGGCAGACACGATCTCAGCTTACCATCCCATCCAAAGGACAGCAATCATAAAAATAATAATCCTTGCATGTTGTTAGTTGATTGGCGGATTGCTCTAACTTCAAAAAATATATTAAATAAAAAAAATTCAGTTTGTGGGACACTACTGCGCGCAATTGGCTGCCGTGTTTCGCCCACAAAATATACAGTCAATTCCCTTTACAGTATATTGTCTAATAATAATAATAAATAATAATCCTTGCATTTGATATAGCGCTTTTCACATCTTCTCGACGTCTCAAAGCGTTTCACAGAATAGACTGTAAAGTGAATTGACCGTATATTTGTGGGCAAAACGCGGCAGCCAATTGCACACAGCAGTTTTTTTTGGAGGGATTATCATTCTTTGTAATATAGAGAGAGTATAAGGGGGGAAAGAGAGTGATTGAGAGAGGGGGAGAGTGTGTGTGTGAGAGAGCGAGAGATGATAGTGGAAGAGAGAGGGTGAGATTGAGAGAGAGAGGGAGAAGAGGAGAAAAGCATAAAGAATGAGAGAGCACAGAGAGAGACGTGAGGACAGTTTCATAGTCACTGTCAGGACAGACGATTGGAGCCTCCCTCAGCCGCAGCGGGGGGGGGGGGGGGGGAAACAGACGAGGACAGACACTGGGTGATTAGCCGTAGTTTCCTCACAGATAACTCCCTTTCCCCAGTGACAAACTCCTCCACGTCCTTCATCCCCCTCTCCCTATCCTACCTCTGCGATCTCCCGACCAAGCTGTTCCTTTTGCCCAGTAAAGGTCGGCTTGCTCCATGTCTCCCCACCCATCTGCCCCCGCTCTCTGGACCTCCATTCCTGGAGTCCCTCTGATTTCCTCCCTCCCTCCTCTTTCAAGGCACGTCAAGACCTAACTCTTTGACCACATCTTTTCCTCTCCCCAAACCCACCTCTCGGCACCCACCCCCAACTCAGGTGCTCAACCGACAGTGTTAAGATGTCCTTCTGCATGAAAAATGTGCTGGGTAAATGTTACAATTCTGGAAGGGAAAGATAAAATATTGTTTCTGGGGCCCACAGACCGTTCTCAAATAGGGAATGCGGCCTGCAGCAGCCAAACGGTTGGAGTTAAATAATTGTAAAAGAATGTTTACGTACCACTTGTCCATATAGTTCCTTTAATTTATCACTGTGCTTCTCAACGCTTTCAATAGTCTTCAATGCGTTTTCAACTCTGTTCAGTCTGTATTCACAGTACGCCTTCTCGAAAGCTATTAGATCACTGTGATCAGGCAACAGGAGAGAGAAGATATGAGATATTATCTCAACTATTAGATTTTTTTTTGAATCGAGATGACAAAACCAGGATTTAAACAGAGGCAAAATAGAGCCACAATATTATATTTATACAAAATACAGCCACAATATTATATATCTCTTTGCTTCCGCTTTATCTGATTTGCACTAACAAACTTTTTAACTTTTTTAACTTTTAACTTTTAATTTTTTTTTAATGAGCTTCTCAGTGTTTCATCAGCAACAGGAACGAGCTCCTGCAACTTCTGGCGTCACAAGATTTTGTTCTACACAAACATTTCAGCTGAACTTGTTAGATGGCATCTGATGTGGGCTGCTCCATCTTCCCTATCCATTCCCAAAACTTCAGAATAGTAAGCGCTCCGGGACACTTCCCCACATGAAAGGCGCTATATAAATGCAAGTTGTTGTTGTTGAACAGAAAAAATAACTATTGTATAAGTTAAATAAAATCAGAATAAAACCAATACAACCAAAACGGAGACCTATTATTTTCCTGACTTTGCTGTTAAGAAAGTTGTTCCATTCTCGACCATCACAAGGAAGCTATAACGTTTCTCCCCCAAAAGGGGGAAAACAAAGAACTCCCCTTATAGAAAACACTGCCGTCTATAGTAACGTGATGATACAGTACTCTGTGACCACTCAATCCCCTGAGCTTTAAGCGCTCTGAGACACTACCCTGAAGGGCGCTATATAAGTCCAAGTTGTTGTTTCAGACTAATGAGTAAAGCAGCCAGCATTGCCGTTCCTTGTTGCCAGTCACTGGGTGAGAGTACAGGATATGTTAGCCTTCCCATTGCCCACAATAGCAGTGAGATAGTCCTAATCTGTGATATCCTTTTCCCACCACAGCAAACGGCATAAACCTGAACTGTGCTCCCCTTTCCTCCGCCTATCAAACAGCACAAGTCTGGGCTGCGACACCCTCCTCACATTGCTCATGCCAACACGTTTTCTACCAGTGCCCCTCAATAACTCCAGGTTGCCCCCTACTACCCACTTTCAAATCCCACCTAAAGGCCTTCCTTATTGATCGTGCTTATCACGGTCACCTCCCCCCTCCCCCTGGCTCGTTGTGAGGGCGCTATATAAATGCAAGATGTTGTTGTTGCCTGAACTCATATAGACCATGAATGATCAGAGTACTAAAAACATATTCTTGAGCCGAAAGAAAGATGATTGCTTTCTACACGCAGAACAAAAGTCCCCAACCTTCAATCTTTTCCACACGAGATTAACATCAGAAAACAATAATGAACTTTTTTTTTTAAACACTGAATTAATTTGCAGAGCATATGGTTTAATCACGAAAAATTTCACTTTCTGATATCAGCGTTACCATATCATACCATTTCGAACAGCGTTAACAGTGTTAAACCCACTGTTCTTCCACAAAATAAAGCAAATCAAAGGTGAGCAGTTCAATAATGGCTGATAATTTTGCAGTAAATATTAAGGCTTTCTATTTCACTTTCTATTTAATGAAGGCTATTTGCCGACTAGTTTTGAACATTTGTGCCTCACCTGGTAAGGACTTTGGTGTGCGTATGGATTACATTAAGAGCTTCCTTAAAATTTCCATTCTGGACCAGGCAGACCACCTTACAATGCAGAGCGGTCGCATCATCCTTGTTGTCTTGCAATACTGCGGAGAGAAAAAAATCTGCACGTGTTGAACTCTGCACAAACCACAAGATACAAGTGGCGACTTTGTCACGATCACAAAATGTAGTGACTGCACCTGTAGGTGAACACGGCGGCCAATTCACACAGAACAATGTCCCACAAACAGTTGCGAAGCCAATGACCAATTTTATTTTGGGGGATTATCGGTCAGAAAACTGACAGCAATTTCCTTCTCCTTTTGAATAGTGTAACGGGATCTTTAACATCCGCCGCAATCTACACCTCCCGGAGGGCGGTCCCGACCCCGACCCGGCACAGCCCCGACCCCGGCCTCGGCCCGACCCCGGCCACAGCCCCGACCCCCGGCCACAGCCCCGACCCCCGGCCTCGGCCCCGACCCCCGGCCACAGCCCCGACCCCCGGCCACAGCCCCGGCCACAGCCCCGACCCCCGGCCACAGCAACGACCCCCGGCCACAGCCCCGGCCACAGCCCCGACCCCGGCCACAGCGCAGCACAACCACCATCACCATTCATGGCCATCAGAGCGAATACCGATCATCGTTAATGATCAGAGGGAATATTGATCACCATTGATGATCAGAGGGAATATTGATCACCATTGATGATCAGAGGGAATATTGATCACCATTGATGATCAGAGGGAATATTGATCACCATTGATGATCAGAGGGAATATTGATCACCATTGATGATCAGAGGGAATATTGATCACCATTGATGATCAGAGGGAATATTGATCACCATTGATGATCAGAGGGAATATTGATCACCATTGATGATCAGAGGGAATATTGATCACCATTGATGATCAGAGGGAATGTGATCACTGATAAGTGAAAATTTTCATTGTTTTCAGTCCACGTCACCATCTCCACACTCACCCCTCCTCCTCCTCCCCCAACCTGCCCCCCCCGCCCCCCCACCCCCCAACCTGCCCCCACCACCCCCCAAACCTGCCCCCCCACCCCCCCACCTGCCCCCCCCCCGGGAGCCCCCCTCCTGCCCCCCCCGGGAGCCCCCTCCCCCGGGAGCCCCCCTCCTGCCCCCCCCCGGGAGCCCCCCTCCTGCCCCCCCCCCCCCGGGAGCCCCCCTCCTCCTGCCCCCCCCCGGGAGCCCCCCTCCCCCGGGAGCCCCCCTCCTGCCCCCCCCGGGAGCCCCCTCCTGCCCCCCCCCTCCTGCCCCCCCCCCCCGGGAGCCCCCTCCTGCCCCCCCGGGAGCCCCCCTCCCCGGGAGCCCCCCTCCTGCCCCCCCCGGGAGCCCCCGGCGCTGCCCTTACTCTTGCTCAGTGATCTCAGGGCTCGGCTGTAATCCCCGCTTTGGCCGCAGCGGTTCACCTCAGTCCACAGCGCCGTCACAGTCCCCCACCGCTCGCCATCCCCGGCCTCCACCTGAGCCCGAGACAAGGCCTGAGCCCCAGCGCCGCCCACAGCGCCCCCTACAGCCCAGCGCCGCCCACAGCGCCCCCTACAGCCCAGCGCCGCCCACAGCCCAGCGCCGCCCACAGCCCAGCGCCGCCCACAGCCCAGCGCCGCCCACAGCGCCCCCTACAGCCCAGCGCCGCCCACAGCCCAGCGCCGCCCACAGCGCCCCCTACAGCCCAGCGCCGCCCACAGCGCCCCCTACAGCCCAGCGCCGCCCACAGCGCCCCCTACAGCCCAGCGCCGCCCACAGCCCAGCGCCGCCCACAGCGCCCCCTACAGCCCAGCGCCACCTGTCTGTCGGTGTCTGTCGGTGTGTGTCTGGGTGTCTGTCGGTGTGTGTCTGGGTGTCTGTCGGTGTGTGTCTGGGTGTGTGTCGGTGTGTGTCTGGGTGTCTGTTGGTGTCTGTCCGTGTGTGTCTGTCGGTGTGTGTCTGGGTGTCTGTCGGTGTGTGTCTGGGTGTGTGTCGGTGTGTGTCTGGGTGTCTGTCGGTGTCTGTCGGTGTGTGTCGGTGTCTGTCGGTGTGTGTCGGTGTGTGTCGGTGTGTGTCTGGGTGTCTGTCGGTGTCTGTCGGTGTGTGTCGGTGTCTGTCGGTGTGTGTCTGGGTGTGTGTCGGTGTGTGTCTGGGTGTCTGTCGGTGTCTGTCGGTGTGTGTCGGTGTCTGTCGGTGTGTGTCGGTGTGTGTCGGTGTCTGTCGGTGTGTGTCGGTGTGTGTCTGGGTGTGTGTCTGGGTGTCTGTCGGTGTGCGTCTGTCGGTGTGTGTCTGGGTGTCTGTCGGTGTGCGTCTGTCGGTGTGTGTCTGGGTGTCTGTCGGTGTGTGTCTGGCTGGGTGTCTGGGTGTCTGTCGGTGTGTGTCTGGGTGTCTGTCGGTGTGTGTCTGGCTGGGTGTCTGGGCGTCTGTCGGTGTGTGTCTGGGTGTCTGTCGGTGTGTGTCTGGGTGTCTTTCGGTGTGTGTCTGGGTGTCTGTCGGTGTGTGTCTGGGTGTCTGTCGGTGTGTGTCTGGGTGTCTGTCGGTGTGTGTCTGGGTGTCTGTCGGTGTGTGTCTGGGTGTCTGTCGGTGTGTGTCTGGGTGTCTGTCGGTGTGTGTCTGGCTGGGTGTCTGGGTGTCTGTCGGTGTGTGTCTGGGTGTCTGTCGGTGTGTGTCTGGCTGGGTGTCTGGGTGTGTGTCGGTGTGTGTCTGGCTGGGTGTCTGGCTGGGTGTCTGGGTGTGTGTCGGTGTGTGTCTGGCTGGGTGTCTGGGTGTGTGTCGGTGTGTGTCTGGCTGGGTGTCTGGGTGTCTGTCGGTGTGTGTCTGGGTGTGAATTTACATTTAGACCCGGTGACCCTCCAGGTTAAAGGTGATCCAATCCTTCCTCCGGGAGAGAATGGTGACGGTTGTATGTTGTTATCTGCCCTCCTCCTCTGCCGCGGTGTCTCTGAGTCTATAATAATAATAATCTTTGCATTTGACATAGTGTTTTTCACATCTTCTCGACATCTCAAAGCGCTTCACTGAATAGACTATAAAGTGAATCGACTGTATATTTGTGGGCGAAACGCAGCGGCCAATTGCGCACAGTCGTGGATTAAAAATGACCAACTTTATTATTATTGAGTTTTTTTGAGGGATTATTATCAGGAGTGTGGAGTAAGGAAACTTGCCCAATGTTTCGCCCTGACCTGCCGGGAATCAAACCCAGGTCTCTCGCTCACGAGGCGAGTGCTGTCACCACTGAGTCAACATGCTATCGATATCTTGGCCACATTTATTCAGGTATTCATTGAAACCCCTCGAAGTAGTCACCGAGCGACTTTTCCTGGGAATGACCAGGAATCAGGAGTTCGCTGTGTATAAATTATGCATAATTATGAATTATAATAATTATGACTAAGTGAATAATCTTACTTAAAAGACCGTGTCTCTTACACAGACACAGTCTCGGAGGAGTTTTTCTCTCTCTGTCCCGGTATAAAATGGCAGCTGTCTCTCTCCTTCACGTGACACAAATTTTTCCTGTCGTGCGGCCACCCTGACTCCCTCCTACTGCGGCGGCGCCAACCCCTCATCGGGTGGCACCAGTGGTTTTACTGACCAGTTGATACTGGTCGTTTCTTTGCAACAAATTCTCTTACACAGCAACCAGCCCACCCGAGATGAGAAGGGTGGGCTGTCTCAGCCGCTCTCTTTCATCAGCTTACATTCCCCGGAAATGAGCTCCGCCAATCGACTGACAACCGGGTTCCTACTTACTGCCGAGTAAACAGGCGTGTGGATCAGGAAACTTGCCCAATGTTTTGTCCTGCCCAGGAATCAAACCCAGGTCCTCTCGCTTGCGAGGTGGGCGCTCTAACCACTGAGCTACAGCCGTCCACATATATATTACTAGTTGGACCTGTTGCAGCTTCACCAGACATTTCATCTTTATCTCATCTGGGAAGACTCAGCGCTTTAAAAATGTTATTTTATTGTTGCCGCGGCTTAGTTTCATCTAATTTCTTTCCCTCAAAATTCTCCTCATTTCCTGCCCCCCCCAAACCTCCCTCAGCTTCATCTCTGACATCTCCATCCTCCTAGCTTCCCTCTGCCTCTGTTCTGAACGCCTCCTCATCCTCGGTGACTTGAACCTTCACTTCACCCCCTCCGGCTCTTTCTCCTCTGACTCTTCCTCCTCTACTCTCACAATCTCTCCCTCCACATCCATTCTGACACCCATGTTCATGGTCACCCACTCGACTTCGTGATTACCCGTGATTATTTCGAGATAACTCCTCAATCCCTCTCCCACCGCCACCCAATCTACCTCCATCTCCCACTTCCATCACCCCTGGAAAAAATCTCCCCGGAATCCCTCACCACTGCACTGGAGTCATATGAACTCCTCCCCCACTGGTCTACCTCCTGCACTGATTTATCCTCCTCGTTCACTCTCCTCCACAAATCCCTCTCCATTACTCTTGATGCCCTTGCCCCACTCACCTCCCAAACCGCTTCCTACTCACAAACCTCACCCTGGTACACCAGCCACCTCCACTCCCTCAAGGGTCAGGTGTGGGCCACTGAACGCACCTGGCTCAAATCTGACCTAACGGTCCACCGGCAGACCTGGCTGGACCCCATCAAAATGTACCACTCCGCCCTCGCCTCCACCAAATCATCCTTCTACTCCAAGATAATCTTGGAGGTGAAGGACAACCCAGGCTCCTATTCTCCACCACCAACCGGCTCCTTCATTCAACCTCCCACGCCTCGCCCGTTCTCTCCTCAAACTCCGACTGTGAGGAGATGCTGGATTTCCTTGAGTCCAAAATCGAGTGGGATCCATTCGGCTGCCTCCGCCCTCCCAACCACCACTTCCTTCCCTTTTCCCCACCACACTCTAACCCTACCCATCCCTTCCTCCACATCTTCAAACCTGTATCCTCCTCTCACCACCACGATATCCAGTATGAAATACACCACCTGTTCCCTTAGTCCCATCCCCTCCCCTCTCCTCACCTCCTAGCTCCACCTCCTCACCCCTCTACTCTCCGACCCCATCAATCTCTCCCTATCATCTGGTACCGTTCCCATCCCCCTAAAAAACAGCTAAAAACAACCCCATCCTGAAAAACCTTCTCTAGACCCATTCCTGCTTTCTAACTACCAGCCCCTGTCCAACCTCCCTCTTCTTTCCAAGGTCCTTGAAAGAGTCATTGCTTCCCAGCTTCACTTCTTCCTCTTCTACCACTCCCTTCACAAGCCCCTCCGTGCTCACAGCACGGAAACTGCTCTGGTCAAGGACACAAATGACATTCTGTCCATCTGTGACCAGGGCTCCCTCTGCCTCCTCATCCTCCTCGAACTCTCTACCACCTTCGATTCCGTGGACCACTCCATCCTCCTCCACCACTTCTCCTCTCACCTCAACCTTCAAGGTTCTGAATGGGAGAGAGTGGGGAGGACATTTTTCAGATTTAAATTAAAAACTTAAAAATTAGATACGTCCCCAAGACTTTTTTTTCCACTCACAGTAGCAACAAAACCCACCCAATCGGACTGCCTTGTCTATCTGTCAGCAGATACACAAGATAGCCAGCAACTCGTCCTCAAACTACATCATTGAACCTTACCTTGTGACCAAACTTTAGCAATCGTCTAAACCCAATTATTATTTTTAAAGTTTCTAATTATTTCCAGCAACTTGGGACATGCTCCCGACATGAAAGGGGCTGCATAAGTCCAATTTGTTGTTGTATTAAACCAAGCACTAACCTTAACTATAAACCATAACCATAAGCCAAAGTTTCACTGTCCATTTTAATTTGAACAGATCTTACAATGTCCGTCTCAAAGTACATGAGTCTCTCAACATTGGACTTGGTCACTACTGAGGTTCAAGATGGGTGGAACATCAAGAGGTAGATGACCCGGACTGATGAACTATTGCCAGGTTATCTAGACAAGGCAGGAGACATGAGGGAGAAGGGATTCACCTAGATCCTAGATACATGGTCACTCTAGAGTATATTGTTAGTGCTTTGAGATGTCTTCTCAACATGAGGGGCACTATATCAAATGTGAGGATTATTTAAGAGAACAGAAGGGTGTGGAAGAGGGTATAAAGAGGAGACTTGTGGAGGATGAACACCAGCCTGATTCAATGGATCGAATGGCCTGTTTCAGTCTGAGTAATTCTGTGTAGAACTGGCAGAAATGATCAAGGAGTGAATCAGCACTATTGAGGTTCCAACAGATTGGAAACAAGCAAATATGGTTTCCATGCTCAAGATGACAGTGCCACTGTCCAGTGCCTTGGGACGTCCTCCCGACATGAAAGGTACTTTACAATGTCATCTGTTGTTGTTATAGTTCAGTGCAACTACAAAGACATTGTTAGCCTGACCCCAAAGCTGGAAACTAGTGGGGGTCAATAATCAAAGAAAAGTTATTTTTCTCCCAATCTCTCTAAAAACTGCCTCTGCATAAATTCAAGTGAATTATGTTATGAGGATGCAATATCCCAACTTGACTGCGGGAATCCATAAAATATAATGAAATCCAAACCCCCAAAACATTTACAATTGATTTTACAATCTGATTTTACTGGGTATTAAGGTTAAGACATAAACAAGGATTTGCAATTGGCTGTAACAAAGTAGATGGTAGTCTTTAAGGGAGATGGAGGGGAAATTAAGTAGGGAGCATCAGGTATTGCGATAATCCCAAATCTTCCTCGCATATACTTATGACCTCACAGATGGTGCAAGGTTGCAGATAACAGTTAAGTTTGGGAAAAGGTAGAATCAGAGGCAGCCAAGGTTTTACAAAGAAAGCTTGACAGTAAGTAATTACAGAAAAATAATTAAAGCAAAAAGTACATTTCTACAAGTATATATAGCACAGCAAATTAGAATCTTTTATTATGGAATTGTTTTTTCAGAACTTCACAAACACAAAGCATAGAATCCCTGGGCCTCTCTAATATGCAGCCAATACTGTATTAATGAGTTAGTTAACTAGCTTTACGTATTAGCAGAATTTGTGGGTAATTGCTTTTTGCTTAAGGTGCACACACAGTGTTTATGGCATGTTAAATGGTTTGTGAGTGGTATCACTGAAAGCTATATTCCATATTGGATCCTTTGGTTGCAAGCTTCGCTGCAATGGGTACAGCTAGTACAGTATATTTAAATAGCTGTAGCCACAGAGACCACTATATGCCTCAGTCCCACAACTAAAATGGGAAACATTTGCTCGGGTTCCTTGCCTTGAGTTACTTCTGCTGTAAAATGTGTGAATGATTGGTGAAAACAATTAAGCACTCTAAGACACCGTCCGGCATGAAGGGCCCTATATACAACAACAAAATTACATTTATAGAGCGCCTTTCACATTGGGAGGACGTCCCAAAGCGCTGAACAGTCAGGTGTCGGGGCCCAAACATGGGGGAGGGGTGGTGTAGGGTTGAGGGAAGGCAGAGAGGTGGAAGGGCGACTAAAGGCACAATCAAAGAGAAGGGTCTTGAGACCGGCCTTGAAGGAGGCAAAGGAGGAAGCGAGGCAAAGGGACCGTGGGTTGGAGTTCCAGAGTGTGGGGCCAGAGAGGCTGAAAGCCCAACCATCGATGGTAGGGCGGGTCGGGCGGGAATCATGGAGCAGGCCAGAGTCCGGTGAATGGAGGGAGCGGGCAGGTTGGTAGGGATCCTATAAATGCAAGTTGTTGATCTTGTTGAGGGCAGGATCAACTTATTAGTTTTGACAAGCTGAACTGGCTCACTGACAATTTCAATCCAGGTTTGGCAACCAAATCCCCAAAACACACACAGGGAAATAAGATTTCTAAACATTTTTGAAAAATCCTAAGTATTGCTTAAACACACACTATCTATTTGTGTTAAAAAATCCAATTGGAAGCATCGGGAGCCAGCTTGCTAAGAGCAAATCTTGTCATTACCAATAATAGAAATCCTATTACCAGCATTCAATCAAAACATTTATTTAAAAAAATCTGGTTGAAGAATTCCTTTACTCAATAAAATGTACACATAGTAATAGAAGGTTTGCCAATTCAACAAAAGATATTGATATATTAACACATTGAACAAGAGAGCGATCCTTTAACTGAAGGCTAATGTTGCTTGAAAGAGAAACTAGATAGCTCAGATATATTATACAAAACAGAAAGGGGCCCAAGGAACCATAAAGCAAAGTCACACAACTTAAGAGGAAGGATCCACTGCACATTTACACCAATCTTAAGATGCTAAAGAGCAATACAAAAATATGAATTTGGTCCCTTGCAAAATGAGAAAGACGAGACAACTTTTGGCTGTCATTTTAAAAAAGAATAAAAGGCACATTTACAAGCTGTGCATGTGAACAAATCACAAGCCCACAAAATATACACTTTACAGTATATTCTGTGAAGCGCTTTGAGACGTCTCAATGATATAAGGCGCTATATTAAATGCAAGGATTATTATTGTTATTAAAGGGCTTTCTACCAATGCACACACCAAATATTTTCCAGTCTTACAGGTAGAAAGTTTCACTCTACTCTGGCAATTAAACAGAGCAGTTAATATCATTACACCAACATTAGTTTCCTTTTCTTTCAGCTTTATATTGCTAATGCAATCCATGATCGCGCATTTGTAAAATAAATACACATTAAATCAATAATTTTCAAGTTGTTTGTAGTTATTTTGACTGATCAGTTGTAAACTGAGATGATTCGCTTGTAAAAAAGTAACTCATTTATCACACTGCCAATCTGGAGATCTGGAGATCCCCAAAGGCAGTCAACATTTGGCCACTTATTTTTCATCTAAGAAACAGAATTTGTTTCCCTGTCGTTGATCGGTCTTTGTTTCATTGGAAGAATAGGGCCTTAAAACGTCCAGCAATCCTGATCACATTCTACAAAGTCAACCTTCAGTTAAAGTGGCTTTAGTTTATGTAGATATTCAACATCAATTCTGCATGAACATCAATGAGGACTTCATGATGCTAAGCAGTCAGGGCACCTTACTCCATTGAAAGCTGTATGCTGTCTGATTGACCTTGCTGGTCATACTTCCGTGCTGAAACAATATAAAAACGTTAAATAAATCACAAAAATAATGAAGTTTTTTTGAAAAAAAACAGTAAATCAGAACATCCCAATGGCTGAATGAATTTATGCAGTGTAGCTGCTGTTCCAATACAGCAAGTTCTCACATTTAATCTACGTTTTGCCCACAAAATATATAGTCGATTCACTTTACAGTATATTCTGTGAAGCGCTTTGAGACACCTAGAAGACGTGATAAGGCACTATATCAAATGCAAAGATTATTATCTGCATCAGAATGCAACACAATTGGTCTCAAATTAGGGAAGAGAAAATCAACAAAGGATTCATGATCCAACTTGCAATCCAGTAACCTAATAATAACCCTTGCACTTGATATATAGTGTCTTATCATATTGTCAAAATGTCTCGAAGTGTTTCAAAACTTTTAACTGTAAAGTTAGTGACTGTTTATTCTGTAGAAAAACATAGGCAATTTGAACACAGCAATATCCAACAAACAGCCACAAAGTGAATGAACAACTTTATGGCAGATCTGAAAACATCTGCTGAACATACACGTGAATACTGTGTGATGACACAATCAGCCCTAATTATAATGGTGAAATGTGGGTGGTGGGTGGGGGGGGAACAAAGGTCATAGCGAGAAATGTTGGCAAAGTTTAAACTCAAAGTGACCAAAGCACGAATTAAGGTTTTGGCAGCAATGGGGTGGGATAAAGACATAATTGAAGGTTCTGCAGATTAAATAAGACAGCCTTAGCAATGAACCAGACATAGGGTTTGAAGACCAGCTGAGGGCCATATAGAATGCTAAGATTACAGCATTGCCCGACAAAGATTCCAGGATATACCACCAATAGAAAGATCACAGTGTACGTTTACTAGGATGATACCAGTGCTGGCAGGTTACTGCTAGCAGGTTAAACTAGATACGTTACGCCTTTTTTTGAGGGGACATAATAGAAGTATATATAATTATTAAATGGTTCAACAAATTAGTATAAATAGGCTGTTCCCACTTGTTGGGGATTCCGGAACTGGGGGACACAAGTATAAGATAGCGAATGGAGATCTAAGCAATAATTTAGGAGGAACTACTTCATGCAGTGAGCAGTATGAATATGGAACTCACTGCCCAAACCTGTGGTTAAAGCAGATGGTATAGATGCATTTGAGGAAGCCAGGTATCTGGAGGGAAGAGTAGACAGGTATGGGAGGAAGTAAGGAGTGGGTTACTGTGGATTGTTGAATATAAACACTGCAATGGATATTGAGGCTGATGGCGTGTTTCTGTGCTGAACAATCTATGTAATTAAGTTAGTAATTCCTCAAACGTACACAAACATCAGTTTCAATATATCAAATCCAAACTTATTGCTAACCCATTATCAACCTTTCCGCTTCCTCTGCTCAGCCTGCTTCACGTCCCCCGCGTTGCCCACACCACCATCGGCGGTTGGGCCTTCAGCCTCTCTGCCCCCATTTGGAACTCCATCTCACATTCCCTTCGCCTTGCCCCCTCCCTTTGCCTCCTTCAAGGCACGTCTCAAAACCCTCCTCTTAGAAAGTGCCTTCGGCCACCAACCCCCATCCTTCTACCCCCACCCTCTCTGCCCTCCATCCTCCATGATCCCAACCCCCAACTCGCGTCCAAATCCCTGACTGTCCAGTGCCTCGGGCTGACCTCCCGACGTGAAAGGCACTATACAAATGTAGTTTTGTATTATTTCACTGATCTCTAAAATGCTTACCAATGTAGTACATCTCTAACTGCTGCCTTAAGCGAACCTTCTGCAGGTTATCATAAAAATTGGGCTCAGGTGCTGCACCAGCAGACGGTGGCACAGTAAATATTCTCATGATCTTCCTTTTATTCCTAAAAAAAAATCCTGAGGTTAGTCAGAAACAAAATATAGTAAACCATGGCTTAAAGTTGTTACATTTTTACAACAAAGCCAAATCTTTACTTTTTTCCAACCACATCCCGTTTACATATAAATGATTACATAATAATCCTTGCACTTGATATAGTGCCTTATCACACCATCAAAACGTTTCACAATACTAGCACAAGATTTGCTCTCAGGTGTAGTGATAGTATTTGTCGGAGAATGTAGCAGTTATCTATTTATGCACAGCAATATCCTGACAATTAAGTGAATAGCCAATTTTATCAGCGGGATTGTTGACCAAGACACAGGGAGAAACTCCCTTCCCTTACCAAGTAATACAAAATTACATTGTATAGCGCCTTTCACATCAAGAAGACGTCCCAAGGCCCTAGACAGTCAGGGATCTGATCTAAGGATTATTTTTCATTATTAATCACTTCTAGTGCCACTGACTACAAAAACAGCAAAATAAATGTTGATTCTGTAAAACAGACATAGCCAAACTAATTTCAAACAATATTATTCCTGCTTTCCAACCAAATCAGTGCAAGTGACCACTATTATTTGTGGAGTCCTGTAGCTCAGTAGTTAGAGCACTCGCCTCGCAAGCGAGAGATCTGGATTCAATTTCCACCAGAGCGAAATGTTGGGCAAGTTTCCTTACTCCACACGGCTCTGTTTACCCAGCAGTAAGTAGGAGCCCGGTTGTTAGGCAATTGTTGGATCGCTTTTCTGGGGGTAATAATTCCTTAAAAAAAATTGGTCACTTTAATCCAAGACTGCAACACTGCTGTGTGCAATTGGCTGCTGCATTTCGCTGACAAAGTAATATCAATTCACTTTACAGTATATTCTGTGTAGCGTTTTGAGAGGTCTAGACGTGATAAGGCACTAAATCAAATGCAAGGATTATTATTATATATTACTGATGTGTTGATTACAACAAACTAGGGTGTCACCCATACACAAACAAAATGTAAGTGGTTAAAATTTATTAATTTATTTTACTTTTTTTAAAATTTACTTTTGGTCAGCAGGGATTATTAATAATTCATAGAGAGAAAGAGAGAGTAATTCAGAGATAGTAATAAGGAGTAATACAGAGAGAGAGAGAGAGAGAGAGAGAGAGAGAACAACAAAATAAACAAATTGGTCATTCGTTTCCTGGCTGTCTGTATGCAAACTGGCTGCTTCCATTGCCTGAAAATACAGTCAATCCATTTCACAGTAAATCCTGTGAAGGGCTTTAATAGTAATAATAATCTCCACGTCCTTCCGATGTGATAAGGCACAATACCAAATGCAAGGATTTGCTATTGTTATTAATATAGAGAGAGCAACAGAAAGAGAAAGTAATTAATACAGGGAAGTAGAGAGAGAGCAATACAGAGAGGCAGAGAGAGAGCAATACAGAGAGGCGGAGAGAGGGAAAGCAATACGGAGAGAGAGAGAGCAATACAGAGAGACAGAGAGCAATAGAGAGAGCGAGAGAGAGCAATACAGAGAGAGCAATACAGAGAGACAGAGGGAGACAGCAATACAGAGACAGAGAGCAATACAGAGAGACAGAGAGAGAGAGAGAGAGAGAGAGAGAGAGAGAGCGCAATACAGAGAGAGAGCAATACATAGAGACAGAGAGAGAGCAATACAGAGAGAGTGAGAAAGAGAGATAGAGAGCAATACAGAGAGACAGAGTCAGACAGAGACAGAGCAATAGAGAGAGACAGAGAGAGAGAGCAATACAGAGAGTCAGAGTGAGACTGAGACAGAGAGCAATACAGAGAGAGTGAGACAGAGAGAAAGTGGTTGGGGGGGGTGGGGAGAGAGCTGGGGTCCCGACTGGTGGGCTGAATTGGGGGCTGAGCTGGGGTGTTGGGGGCTGGGGTGTTGGGGGTTGGGGGCTGGTGGCTGGGGTGTTGGGGGCTGGGGTGTTGGGGGCTGGTGGCTGGGGTGTTGGGGGCTGGTGGCTGGGGTGTTGGGGGCTGGTGGCTGGGGTGTTGTGCGGGGGGGAGAGTGGCTGTGGGTTAGGGGCGGGGGGGTGTTGGGGGCCAGTGGCTGGGGTGTTGGGGGCCGGTGGCTGGGGTGTTGGGGGCTGTGCTGTTGTGGGGTGGGCGTGGGGGTGTTGGGGGCTGGTGGCTGGGGTGTTGTGTGGGGGGGGGGGAGTGACTGTGGGTTAGAGGCGGGGGAGGGGGTGTTGTGGGTGGTTGTTGGGGGGGATGTTGTGGGTTAGAGGCGGGGAGGGGGTGTTGTGGGGGGGAGGGGGTGTTGTGGGGGGAGGGGTGTTATGGGGTGGAGGGGGTGTTGTGGGGGGGAAGGGGTGTTGTGGGGGGAAGGGGGTGTTGGGGGGGTTGGGCTGTTGGGCGGGGGAGGGGGTGTTGGGGGTTAGGGGCGGGGGAGGGGGGTTGTGGGGGGGAGGGGGTGTTGGGGTTAGGGGGGGAGGGGGTGTTGTGGGGGAGGGGGTGTTGTGGGGGGAGGGGGTGTTGTGGGGGGGAGGGGGTGTTTGGGGGAGGGGTGTTGTGGGGGGAGGGGGTGTTTGGGGGGAGGGGGTGTTGGGGGGAGGGGGTGTTGGGGGGTGGGGGTGTTGGGGGGGGAGGGGGTGTTGGGGTATTGTGGGGGGAGGGGTGTTGTGTGGGGGAGGGGGTGTTGGGGGTTAGGGGGGGAGGGGTGTTGTGGGGGGAGGGGGTGTTGTGGGGGAGGGGGGTGTTGTGGGGGGAAGGGGTGTTTGGGGGTGTTGTGTGGGGGAGGGGGTTGGGGGGGGGGGGTGTTTGGGGTGTTGTGTGGGGGAGGGGGTTGGGGGGGAGGGGGTGTTGGGGGTGTTGTGTGGGGGAGGGGTGTTGGGTGTTGGGGGGGGAGGGGGTGTTGTGGGGGAGGGGGTGTTGGGGTTGGGGGGGAGGGGTGTTGTGGGGGGAGGGGGTGTTTGGGTGTTGGGGGGCAGGGGGTGTTTGGGGTGTTGTGTGGGGGAGGGGGTGTTGGGTGTGGGGGGGGGGGTGTTGTGGGGGAGGGGGTGTTGGGGTTGGGGGGGAGGGGGTGTTGTGTGGGGGAGGGGGTGTTGGGTGTTGGGGGGGAGGGGTGTTGTGGGGGAGGGGTGTTGGGGGTTGGGGGGGAGGGGTGTTGTGTGGGGAGGGGGTGTTGGGTGTTGGGGGGGGAGGGGGTGTTGTGGGGGAGGGGTGTTGGGGGTTGGGGGGGGAGGGGGTGTTGTGGGGGGAGGGGTGTTGGGGGTTGGGGGGGGAGGGGGTGTTGGGGGGGGGGGGTGTTGTGTGGGGGAGGGGGTGTTGTGGGGGGAGGGGGTGTTGTGGGGGGAGGGGGTGTTGGGGGTTGGGGGGGAGGGTGTTGGGGGGGAGGGGGTGTTGTGTGGGGGAGGGGGTGTTGTGGGGGGAGGGGGTGTTGTGGGGGGAGGGGGTGTTGGGGTTGGGGGGGGAGGGGGTTTGGGGGGAGGGGGTGTTGTGTGGGGGAGGGGAGGGGGTGTTGGGGGTTGGGAGGGGAGGGGGTGTTGTGGGGGGAGGGGTGTTGGGGGTTGGGGGGGAGGGGGTGTTGGGGTTGGGGGTGTTGGGGGTTGGGGGGGAGGGGGTGAGGGGTGTTGGGGGGAGGGGGTGTTGTGTGGGGGAGGGGTGTTGGGGGTTGGGGGGGGAGGGGTGTTGTGGGGGAGGGGGTGTTGGGGGGGAGGGGGTGTTGGGGGTTGGGGGGGAGGGGGTTGGGGGGGAGGGGGTGTTGTGAGGGGGAGGGGTGTTGGGGGTTGGGGGGGGGGGGGTTGCGGTTGGGCTGACGGGGACTCACTTTCTGGCGTACATGAGGAGGCCGAGACTGACGAGAACTGCGATCAGGTAAATGTTAGTGGCGTCATTCCAGGCCTCGTGCACCGTGTAGTCCATGGCGACCGCCTCGTCCCCCATCACCGCGCGTCATCAACCCCAGCCCGCCGGACACGTCATCAAACCGCGACCCGGCTGGCGCATGCTCACTGGGCACTTCCCGCCCCGCCCCCAGAACACCGGTCGGTTGTGATGAGGGAGGAGTGTAATGGCCGTCGCGCTGTTGCTCCTGTGAGTACCTGGAAACACTGTCTCGGGTTATGTGTACCTCAGGGGGTGGGTTCCCCGCCTCTGCTACACTGGGGGCTGTGCACCTTACATTTGGCAGAGGTCCCCCCCACACACACACAGACCCCGCTTGCTTTAACTGTTTTATTTTTATTTTCCAGGACAGGTTCGGGATTATTATTGTTATTATTGTTGTTGTTTGCAAAGGAATCAGTTTTATTTTGTAAAGTATTTTTAATCAAATTAAGACGGACTGAACGGAACTGCTCTTCGTCTGAGTTGCCAATGACAACAGACCAGGGTGTGCCGAGTAGCAAACATTTTCGGTGTTAATCTGGTGGTGTCCTCATCACCGGCAGAATACGAGGACTTGTAACTTAACGGGACAACTTCCTCTCTTCCTGTGTAACGAAATTTCAAGTAGAAATTTGGGATATCAGACGAGCAGAATTGATTTATTAATAATAATAATCCCTGCGTTTGATGTAGCACCTTATCACGTCTTCAAGACGTCTCAAAGCGCTTCACAGAATATACTGTAAAGTGAATTACTGTGCATTTTGTGGGAGAAACATTCTTCATCACACAGAACACTTAACAATTACTTCATCAATGAGCTTATAAAAATCAGACGTTTCAAGGCATGCTTTGCGACTTTTTAATTCTATTCTCCATTTCACATCATTTTAAACTCAGGCTTTGTACAATCGGCTTTTTAAGTTTATAGGCTGGGGTTTTCCTTATCCGTTCACCCTTGACTTGCACAATAAATGGCAATAGAGGTGGCTTCTGAACCAATAAGCCAATTGCTGCTGGTGTATAGGCCCGAAGCTCAATTTTGTCTTCAGAATGAGCTGTCACTGCAATCCAACCTGAAAAAGTCATCAGAAAAGACTGGATATCAACAACCACTTGCACTGATTATAGAACCCTTCACGGGGAATAGCATCTCGGAGCGCTTGAAGAGACAAGGTTTTGAGAAAGAAAGACCGAGGGAGAGAGACAGACAGAGACTTAGAGAGGGAGAGACTGAGAGATGGAGACAGAATGAGAGAGAGGGAGAGAGACACACACACAACAGTTTGGGAAAATAGTTAACTAGTCTCTGAATTATGGAATTCTTTGGGGAAAAAAGCAACTGAGCTCCAATAGACACAATTGTACCAATAATCTCACTTATTAGTAGTACAGTGGAAGCCAGTTAAGACGGATACATCAGGGAAGGACATTTTATCCGGCTTAAGAAGCATCCGAGGGTAGGAGGAGCTCCACCGATGCCGTATAATATGTAATAATGTTGTTTCACTTGAACCAATGTTAACTAACAGTGAAAGTTAAAATACACTGTTCACAATTCAGTAAAATATATTTACTTTGGCTGCAAAATGTAAGACAATACTTTCCTGCCCAGCAGGGGAGCGACTACCTCCCTCCCATTGCTGTTCTCATTGGACGGGAAGGGGACCAATTAGCGGGGGCCTGAAGTAATTGACAGCACGGAGCCACTTTTGATTGGATGGACTCCAGCCAATCACAAGTGGCTCAGCTGTCAATCAATCAGTTTCCCTCCCTTGTTCTGCCCCATTCCTCTGCGCCCCCCCCCGCCACTGATTGACAGCCCAACTGCAGCTGCTTGCGAGTGGCTGGAGTCCGCTGTCAAATCAATCGTAGACTCCTCCCATCTTCATCCCGGAACCCCTTGGCTGAATGGATGCACACAAGGCCCCAGCGAGTACACTAGCGGTGACCAGCACAGCATTTTGCTCAGAATTAATGGATTTTTGTCCAAATCAACTGTCATATTTACAGCAGGTAAAAATACAAATGAATCGGGCCGGGTGTTTTCATCAATTTACCAGACGTCTGAGGTTAACCGACATCCGGTAAAAGCGGATTCCACTGTGGAGACTACAGAGGCGGGGATTGTTCTTCTTAAGACCAGAAAGGATTGAAGGGAGATTTAATAGGTGTTCAAAATTATGAGGGGTTTTGCTAGAGTAGATAGGGAGAAACTGTTTCCACTGGCCGGTGGGTCGGTAACCAGGGCACATAGATTTAAGATAACTGGCAAAAGAACCAGAGGGGAGAAGAGACAATTTTTTTTTAAACCAGAAAGTTGTTCCTGATGGAATATGGTGGAAACAGGTTCAATAACAACTTTCAAAAAGGAATTAGACAGGTACTTGAAAAGGAAGAAAAGGAAGAATTTGCAGGGCTATGGGGTAAGATTGGGGGAGTGGAACTAGTTAGTAGCTCTTTCAAAGAGACGGCACAGGCAAGTCCCCAGCTTGCCATTAATAACACTGTCTGGCACGCTACCCACTGCGTGTCCAGCTGGGATGGATATCAAGGCTTTAGATTGCAGGTTAACATGAGTGGGAAGAATCAATGTCTCCAGTGAATGGTCTGCCTATGAGGGAGGCTGGCTGGTCTGTCAGTGCGATGAAGTACTGCAGACCCACCTAGCTCAGGAACTGGCCCACCAAGACCGCCACAGCAGATTGATTATATTTGATAGTATGTTGTCAAACATAACAACTTGTTTCAAAGAGACCCTCCCTCTTCCTCCCCCACCCCCGAGGATAGTCACTATAGATCATTTGATAACTGACAGTGGCGGGGCATACTAGGGCGGGGGAGCTGGAGCAGGCCAATGTCCGCCGAGTAGAGGAAGCGGACAGGTTGATACAGTGTTCATAAGTCACAGAGGTAGAGAGGAGCAAGACCATAGAGGACTTTAAAAGTGAAGATGAGGATTTTGAACACTATCCTCCTGTGAAGCCAGGCGAGGGTGCGGGTGTTAGGGTCACAGTGCCTGGTGCGGGAGTGGACATGAGCTACAGAGTTCTGAATAATCTGCAGCTTGTGGGGGTAAGAGTCGGTAAGTCAAACAAGCAGATCGCTCTGTTAATTTGACACCATTGCCGACAATATGTACCTGAGAGGAAGGGCAAGTTGCTGATGTGTTGGTTTAACAATAAACATTGGATACAACATACCCTCACCAAAGTTATTTTGTCTATCGAAACTTTAAAAAATTATAAAAATGAATGCCATTACCTGCGGAAGAGAGCTTAATGTCAGCTGCAGCCTCCAGCAGGCCAATTCCCTCCAACTCAATATTCTGAGGAACCAGTGATGGGAAATCTTTCATTCTCTCCTCACCACCAATAGGAACCTAGTAGAAAAATTCACAGAATCATTGAGAACATGCAAGATCAGCCACATAGACCTAAACAGTCTTTAATAATAATTTCTTCAAATTTTTGTTTAAAAAAATGTCACTTAGTCCATTACTGTTTGTGGGACACTGCTGTGCGCAATTGGCTGCCCCGTTTCACCCACAAATTATAGTCAATTCACTTTACAGTATATTCCATGAAGCGCTTTGAGATGTGATAAGGTGTTATATCAAATGCAAGGATTATTATATAGAATGCTTAGATTGTATCAGGTATATTGACACCTTCTTGGCATTTATTTCAAACAAGAATTTCAATGCATTTTCATGTTCTTATGCTTTATTAATTTACAAGGAAACTGAGGTGATGGAAAATGCCCTCACGAGTCCCTCCCCATGTTACAATGTGCGAGACTAAACATTTTTGGTGAATAGCTAGCTCGACAGATAAAGGATATGCAGATAAGCAGAGCGCCACTGAACTCTCCCAGCAAACGTCAGGTTTAAACCAAGTATCTTATTCAGCCACTCTGTGCTTTTTAATACGGAATGGTGGTTTACCCCAAGGAATGCTTTGCCAGCATGCTTCTGGTAGATTGAATCTGCTTTCTCCAAGCTGGTTATGTGAACTGGAAGCTGGTTGGAGGCAAGTACAGAAAACCAGGCTGACTTTTCACCCTGTAAAATAAATAAAAGATGCTTTAAAGTATAAACTAATAAATGCTTACAGAGTTTATGCTTACATCATGCGAAGTTTATCTGAAAATAAAATTCTCACACGCCTGTACCTGCTCACTCTAATTTTTGCACAACTGGCTGCCGTGTTTTGCCCACAAAATATAGTCAATTCACTTTATTGTATATTCTGTGAAGCGCTTTGAGACATCTTATCGACTTGATAAAGTGCTATATCAAACGCAAGGATTATTTTTATTGTTATCCTGCTGTGGAGGTCAAACAAGAAAGTTCCAGCACTGATCTGTTTGAATTTTTTAAAAACTCAGTCTCAACATAAACAAACAAAGATCACAGCAACTGCAGATCTAATAAGAAATTAGCACCTCACAAACATTTTTACTAAAAAAAACTCAAAATAATTAAATGGCAAGTACAGGCAATTCCTTCTGACATTTTTGGCAGTACAGGCACAAGTATCAAACAAACAAGGTATTTACAGTGTTAAAGAGCAAAATGTTTAAAGACCCAATACTTTGAATTGTGACATAATAAAACTACTACAAGCCACTGATCACCTGTTTTGTTCCTATCGGTATTCTAAACCCATACCTTCAGAAAGTCTATGCGGCCCAGGGCACCCAGTAGTAGCACCATTCCTGGCTGAAGTACAAACGTACGTGGGACAATACCAGAAGAAGGCATCACAACTTTCAGCTCGTGTTCTGTAAGAAGATTTAAGACCTGCAAAATATATTGGTAATATTGAGGGAAGCTTCAACCCCTGATGGTCTATAGCTTCATCCATAGCTGCCGCATTTCACCCACAAATATTTAGTCAATTTTCTTTACAGTCTATTCTATAAAGCGCTTTAAGACATCTAGATGTGAAAAGCGCTATATCAAATGCAAGGATTATTATTATATAGAGTGAATTCACTTTACAGTATATCCTGTGAAGCGCTTTTGAGATGTCTCGAAGACGCGATAAGGTGCTGAATCAAATGCAAGGAATATTACTGTCAATCTGTGAGTTGTCAAAAGACAGAATATGGAAAGGTGGTGTGTGCGCCAACCTGCTCATTCTGGGAACCATCATATCACCTCACACACACTGACACAAACAGCGGGAACGGGAGGCGGTGCGCTCTGTACACAGCTGGGAGTCGCTGTCTTATCACCTGCACAGCGGAGGGGCAGCGTGTGAAGGGAAGATAGTGCAGACCACCCACAGCTGGTCCTGGGAGTTACTGGTTTACCTCACACGTAACAGAAGTGCAGGGACAGAGCAGCATGTCCTGCGAGCTGCTATCTTACTTCCTACAGGAAGAGTTCAATTTGAGAAGGAGATTTTGCGAGTTTATCTGTGATGAGGAGTGGATACCGTGTAAATAGTTGTGAAGTTTACTCGAGTTAAGAGTTATAAAAGCAAATATTGTTGAACAGTAAATGGATTTACATAGGTATAGATAGATAGACATGTTTAAGCAAAATAATTAAATATAGAATTAAATAGAATTCAAGAGTATTGATGAAGCCTAAGGAGTATTTAAAGGAAAAAGGGAAAAAATGTTGTAAAGCAGGCAGGTTATATAAGAACGTTTGTAAAGGTATGGTACAAAATAAACAAAGTTCTTTGAAGGGAGTGTTCTCTTGATTCCCTCAGTTCCTGAATCTTGATTAAAACACGGTGTTCAACACCACCCTATCTCTACACCCTCCTTCAACCCGAGGCTCTCTTCATGTGTCCTGCCTTCAGCTTTCTTCCCCAGCTCTCTGGAATCCCAGTCCCCTGCACTCACTCCTTCCCTCACCCCATCTCATGTACCGTTGACTATGCATCTTTCCCCTCCCCCACCGTCTTCAGCTCCCACCTCCAGCTCAGGTATGTAGCTAGCAGTATCAAGTCCTCCTGACGTGAAAGGCATGATACAAATGTAAATTGTGCTGTAACTTGTAAACCTTGTTTTTACTTGGAGAAGTTATACACTTTACTTTGGAAACAAAATGGCTGTAAAATCAACTGCAATTGGATTCTCCAACTGCAAGGATTTTCTTATGATTTTACTAATCATAAAACTGGACGAAAGAAAAATAGAAATACAAGATGTTCTGTCCCTATATCCCATAGTGTCAATTCGGGTCTGCATACCAGAATTCATCACACAATGATGCGAATACATTGTTGTAAATGTGATCAATCAATCTTTTGGTAAGTGACCTGAACTGAAGAAATGGCTTGTGATTTGCATTATACCACCAACAACTTATTGCAATTTAGCTTCACTTACACAGTCCTCCTTGACAATGCCAGGAGTGTCATAAAACCAGCGAGCATCCTTCAGTTCATTGTACGTAAATGCCAAATTCTCTTGGATGTTTAAGCGATTTTGCGGATGATCATCTTCCATACTTATGGCGAGTTGGTCTGGATCCCATTCCATTTGTTCAGAAACTTTGTTTCTCTGCTGAATTACTTGTGAATTATGAAAGGTTTTACCAATTCTACCTAAGTGTCAAAGAAAATAATTCCATAACCAAGTGTTACAAATTTCCAATTGTTTGTCTCATCTCTATTGAATGTGCTCAGTTGTCCCTTTCTTGGTTACTACCATTTTCAGCTACTCCTAAATTTACTCTTTCTGAACCTATTCTGGGTTGTTTACAGAGATACAAACAATAAAGCTCAGACTAAAACTCGTAACACCGCTCTCCTACATTACTTCCGCACTTACCGGCTGCATTAAATGACGGGAAATGACCCGTCACCACACGCACACCTACCAGTTGCAATGAATTACGCAGGCTTATTGTAGATTATTGATTAAATAGAATTTTATACGACTTAATATAGTTTGCCTGTAACTCTTGACTTCATGCAAGTCATATTAAAGGTTATGGTCCTGACTGATACAATTTACGTGAGTTTTACTGTATTGATGACTAAATTGATGACTTGAACATAAATTCATGAATTGATAGTATACTGAACAAGATTGACAAGATTTGTTATGAACCCCATTACTACCACATTCTCTAGTGAAGTACTGTGGAGCGCTGCACTGTCATGGAGGTTTGTGGGACTTAACTGTGTGGAAAGTGAGTTACCAAGTTTGTGTTTGCCAACAAAGCCAGTGATTACACGTGGCCACAATTATCTGTGAAATGCTTAGAGGTATTTTGATGTTGGGAGCGTAATAATCCTTACATTTTGTATAGTGTTTTTCATGTTTGCAGGACATCCCAAAGTGCTTCACAGGATTTACTGCAGTGATTCATGTCCTGTGGGCAAATTTGGCAGTTCATTGGTGAAGTGTACGACCAATTTTATTTGGGGGTTTGTTGGCCAGTACATCGGGAGAAACTTACTTCTCTTTTCGAAGAGTGCCATGGGATCTTTAATGTCCACCTGAAGAGGCAGACAGGATTGTGGTTTAACATCTCATCCGAAGGATGGAACCTCCAACAATACTCCTAGTATTGAAGTGTCAGCTTAGATTATACAGGTTCCCAGGCCCACCGTGGGGCTTGAACCCATAACTTTCTGTCTCAGAGGCAAGAGTGCCACCAACTGAGTCAGTTCCAGAAACAAGAATAGCAATTGAGTCCTCCTTTATTAGACGAGTATGAAAGCCTTACCAATTAAGTAGCCATGTTTCTTAAGTCGATGAAGCTGCTTCAATTCCTCTTCATCAAGGTCAAATTCGGTCTGTGACTTATCAGCTTTCAGTCTCTTTGCTCTTTTTTCCATTCTGGATGGCGTTGGATTTATAATTGGAAATTTAAGGAGATTTAAAGTGGTTCCTGTGAAACAAAACATTTACATAATCACATAAATAAGTGCATTTTTTCAAAAAATGAACAGTTAAATTGAAAGATTAATTTTTAAGGTTTGGGAAAATAATTTGTTCAAACATTAAAAAAAAATTTGTTTTCAAAATGCAACGATTATACCTTCTTCTATGAAACCAAACATCTAATTTACATTTCAGAGATAGTCCACAAAAGAGTTCTTCCACACAAAAAAAGTCACTGCATTTCACGGTATATCCCGTGAAATGTTTGGGAACATCCTCACTGTGAAAGGCGTCACAATAAACCCCGCCACAAGAGAGAATGATTGAGGGGGAGAAGAAACAGAGACGGAGAGCGAGGGGGGAGAGAAAGGGAAGAGAGTGATTGACAGAAGGAATAGTGATTGAGAGAGAGAGAATGAGGGGGAGAGAGCAGAGTGATAGAGAAACAACGAGAGAGAGAGAGAGAGTGCGAGCGCATGGGGAGAGGGGCAGAAATCACAGGAGAGAGGGGAAGTGAGGGCATCGTTTTGTGGTTCTCAGCAACCAAAAGGTTGGACCACGTGAAACAATCGTTGTGAAGAGTTTTTGTAAACTTTGTAAACAGTTCTGTTTTGAAACCTGTTTGGTTTTGTTATTCATTGTCCAGTACATGTTATCTCCACATAAAGATCAGCACTGTGCAGAACTGTATATAGAAAGAACATGCAATTATAGCTTTAATATACATGGGTTAAACATGGTGCAGAACTTTGCCTTAATGTGTGCAGCCAGTCAGGTACTTGTGTATTTTGTTATGTGTTAGTCATATAAAATCCAAATTATACATAATTTTACATGTGCCATATACGATATGACTTACGCAAGTTTGACATAACTCGTACTTTGCATAAATCATTAAATGTATGGTCCCAACTGATATGACTTATGTGAGGTTTACTGAATACCAAGTGATTATTATTATGAAATAACAATGGAAACCTTAAGAGATTTAAAAGGCTCGAAACAGATTTTATGGGGACGTTTTACATACAAATTGTAGACATTCAGCTAAGATTTTTTTAAAAAAAACAAAAATTGGTCACTCACCTCATTGGCTGTTTGAGGGACACTGCTTTGTGCATTTTGGCTGCCGTGTTCACCAACAATCTACACTGTCACGCCACTTTACAGCATATCCTGTTAAGCGTTTGAAGACAATATCTTGACAATGTGATAAGGCATTATATCAAATGCAAGAATTATTATTCATTTATATATTTACCAACTCTGACAGAACGCAAGATTGCATTTCTGGAGACAGTCAGGATCTTTTCTAGAACAAAACTGGGCACAAATAGCAGAGCAAAAGGAGAACTGGTACCCTTTTCATACACATTCAATATATAGAGTACAGCCCCAGTTTCCTTAAGAGTGAAAGACAAAATATAGAGCAAAACGACTTAATGGGGATTTTAGTGGCAGTCTTCAAAGACTTGCTTACTTCCCCTACTTCAATTAAAAACATTTTTTAGCAACTAGTACAGGTGCATGCCTGTACTGATGTGTGTATACCATCTTGTCTGCTCCCACTGAGAAAAACGCTAAATGTAATTTGCTGTTGTTGCTCTCCAATTCCACAGAACTCCTCTATATTGGTTTTATATGCAAATCATAGAATCATAGAATTATACAGCACAGGAGGCCATTCGGCCCATTGTGCCTGTGCCGGCTCTTTGAAGAAGCTATCCAATTCAATCCTACTTGCCCACCCTCTCTCTCCAAAACCCTTCAAACTTGTCCTCCCCAAATAATTATCTACTTCTCTCTTAAAAGTTGTTATTGAATCAACTTCCACCACCCTTTCAGGCAATGCATTCCAGAACCGAACAACTCGCTGTGTGAAAAAAATTCTCCTCACCTCCCGTTTCTTTTAACAACTATTTTAAATTGGTGTCCTCGGGTTACCAACCCATTTACCAGTGGAAATAATTTCTCTTTGTTCACCCTATCGAATCCCCTCATAACTTTGAAAACTAGATCTACTAAGTCTCCTCTTAATTTTCTCTGCCCCAAGGAGAATAATTTTCTCTGCCCCAAGCAGCGTTTTGTGGTTCTCACTGGACATCTGACCCTCAGCAACCAAAAGGTTGGACCACCCTGCTCCACGTGAAACAATCACTAGTTAACTTTCCTTAACAGAATTCTCACTCTGTTCCACCTCACTCAGGTCCCTCCTCATGCTGCCGGGCTCTCTGCTTAAGGGAGAAAATGAACTGGTTTCTTTAGGTCTAATTCAGTATTGGGTTTAATGAACCAAGTGGGTCTGCAGTTCTCCAGAGCACTTCTATCAGACCAGCCTGCCCGTTCTTGGGCTGGGCAGCATTTTTATACAATAATAATCCTTGCATTTGATATAGTGTCATATTTACATCTTCAAGACATCTCAAAGCTCTTCACAGAATATACTGTAAAGTGAATTGACCGTATATTTTGTGGGCAAAACCCAGCAGCCGATTGGATTGAGTGACCAAATTATATTTTTTGGGGAGACGGGATTATTGCTCCCGAAAACAACCGGGTTCTTACTTACTGCTAGGTAAACGGAGACCCGTGGAGCACAGAAACTTGCCCAACGTTTTGTCCTGCCTGGGAATCAAACCCAGGTCCTCTCGCGTGTGAGGAGAGTGCTCTAACTACTGAGCTACAGGACTCCACTGTAGTCATTGGGAGTCATTATATAAAAAAAGTTGTTGTACTGTACTGCGTTGTACACAACTATAAACATGAAGTTAAAAAGCAAAGCTGAACTTCATACAATCCAAAGATTATACAATTTGTATAAAGCGGACCCATACGCTTGAATAGTTTACTTCTGTCTCTCACCTGGCCATCGTGAAATCGTTGCTCTCTGAATGACATCTGGAGTTTTGGATTTACAGTAATCTGACTTCAACAAGGTATTGAATAGTGTAGACTTTCCAACATTGGTGGTTCCCACCAAATAGACATCTCCTTTGCGCTTCCAAGAACTCTGCAGTTTTGAGATCAAGTGCTCGATTCCGTACCCAGTTTTGGCACTGATGAGCTGCACATCTTTAATGTTCTGCCCATCGTAAATCCCATGTCTGACACAGAGATCGAACACGTGCTGCTGGATCCGCTTCAGATAGTTCCGAGAATCGGATGGGATCAAGTCGACTTTATTGGCGAGGATTAAGACGGATTTCTGCTCTCCCACTAAATCGAGGAGATCGGGGATGATGGTACCGGGGAGATCCAGCAAATCGATCATGTACAGGACAAGCGCCTTCTCCTTGCGGATGCCGCTCACGATCTCTCGGTACTGTTCAACCGACACTTTGACGTCCAGAGCCCTGTGATGGTGAACGAGCAGAAAGCAGCGCTGACACACGGACTTGTCCAGGGCGCCCTCCTGCACCAGGCGCTTGTACTTCTCACTGGGTAGGTACCCGGCCTGGGAGGGCTCGGTGCAGTGCAGGACCGCGCCGCAGCCCGAGCAGTTACAGCTGCTGATCGGCTCCAGGGGGTCGGGGCTGCCGTAGATCGGGTGCCGCCCGGAGGCTCGTCTCTTGCTGCTGGACGGCAGGTGGGAGAGGGGGGATTGAGGCCCGGGGCTGACATGCGGCCTCTGTACCTGCTGCTGGCGGGGCCGCGGGGGGCGGCGACCCTGCGCCCCGGCCTCGGAACCCTCCTCCCGGGCCTCCCCCTCCCCGGCAGCCCGGGCCCCGCGCTCCCCCTTGGCGAGCGCAGCCTCGCACTCGCTAACCCTAACCTCGCTCTCCCGCTCCCCCTCCGCGGCCTCGCACTCCCCGAAGCGCTCCTCCTCCTCCTCCTCCGGCCACACCGCGCCGCCCCCCGCCGTCCGCGCGCGGCCTGCTCTCAGCCACCGGTGCTGACCGTGGGCCGTGGCCGGGCTGAGCTCGGGCCTGGCCCCCGCCGGCCGGCAGCGGGGAGGAGGCCGGAGAAGGAGCCGCGGCGGCAGAGTCAGGCGGCGGCTCAGGCCGAGCGTGGCCCTGAGCAGCAGCTCCATCGGCCTCCGGCTCCGGACACTCAACATGGCGGCCACCTTCCTCCCAGCGGCCACCGCGGCCCGGGCACATGCGCACTGGTCGCCCTCACTGCTGACCTTTGACCCGGAACTCCTCTCCCAGCTTCCGGTCATCAGGTTCAAATGTGAAGCTTTGGATCCCCCCCCCTCCCCCGGCCTTGTTGTTATTGTTCTATAATTATTATTATTATTATTATTACCTGTTATAATAGTGCAGTGCAGTCCTGTCGCTCAGTGGTTGGAGCGCTCACCTTCGCGTGGGCCCGGGTTGGATTTCCTTACTCCGCGTGTGCACCTCTGGAGAGGAGAGGAGAGGAGAGGATAATAAGTTGGTGATGTTCCGCCCGCGGCAGTTTGTGGGGGTTCGCTGCCGCGCGCAATCGGCTGCCGCGCTTCGCCCACAAAACATACAGTCAATTCACCTTACGGCATATTCTGTGAAGGGCTTTTGAGACGTCGAGAAGACGTGATAAAGCGCTATAGCGAACACAAGGGCTATTATTACACAAATCCAGCTTTCTGTTAGGGATTCTCTGTGCCGTTCTGCTTTAGGATTGACACCTCCGACAAACCCAAAAAAGGCCACCGACTCAACAATAATAATAACAATAATCCCGGCATTTGATACAGCGCTCTTCACGTCTTCTCGACATCTCAAAGCGCTTCACAGAATATACTGTAAAGTGAATTGACTATATTTATGGCGAAACGCGGCAGCCAATTGCACACAGCAGTGTCCCACAAACAGTCGTGGATTGAGTGACCAAATTATTATTGATTTTTTTTCTTGAGGGACTATTATCAGGAGTGTAGAGAAAGGAAACTTGCCCAAGGTTTCACCCTGACGGCTGGGAATCGAACCCAGGTGTCTCGCTTGCAAGGCGAGTGCTCTAACCACTGAGCTGCAGGACTCCACGTCCTGCATAAGCATAACATTTACTAATAAAACTTCGAAAGAAAAGTTTACAAGACGGTAACCTACTTCTACATATCAATGCCATCAATGGATGGTTGCAGAAGCCATGCAGTCTATATGGTACTATCAGTATAAGTGAGCAACATGTCCTTTATTATTACCTTCTACGTTCTATGACTGAGCCAGTTTTCAATCCAACCAGCTAAGTGAACTCATGTTATCAACAAGGAAAACAATGTGGTGCAATACCAAATCCAGATTTTGTACAAAGAGAGGAGAAACAAGTGCTTGCGTTGGAATCTAACTGTATGCCTCCATCTCAATTTGCACTTGTGACAGCTCATTCATTCGTATATGGAGGTTAAATGAATGAGGAAAGACACAACTTCATATAATAAATCCTCAAACTCCACAGCGTATCTTTGTGATAGTATTCACCTTTGGAATCTTTAGGGTTTTTCATTGAGTATGTTTTTTTTAATGCCCTTTAATTGTTTGTGATCTTTTCTATTATTTTTTCCCAAACACATGCCACTTGAAGCTTTCACGGCCAAACACTGCTGATAAACACTCCTTTTCCATTTGGGCATATTTTGTTTCAGATAGTGCGCTTGATGTATAAGCTATGGTATATTTTCCTTGTGTCAATATTGCTCGTATCCCTGCTTCACTTGCATCTACAAATACTTACATCATAAAATGTCAATATGGAGGCTTTCAAAATAGCGTCTATTATTCTATTAAATGTCTGCTTTTCTCTTTATTGGTTCCATAACCTCTCACCTTCAGTTTGAACTGAGCCATCGAGTTTACCATCCCCATTAATCCATTTACTCCTCTTGTCTGTGGGTGCTGGTATTTTAGTGATTGCTTCTACTTTCTGTGGATCTATTTTCAACCCTTCATGTATAATTATGTGCCCCAAATTCTTCTGTTACTATTATCTTGCACTTATAATAATAATAAACCTTGCATTTGATATAGCGACTTATCACGTCTTCAAGTCATCGCAAATTGCTTCACAGCACTTCACGGAATATACTGTAAAGTGAATTGACTCTATACTTTGTGGGCGAAACACAGCAAACAATTACACACTAATGTCCCACAAACAGTTGTGCAGTGAGTGACAAATTTTTTTTTTTTTTTGAATGAATGAATTATTACTCCCGGAAAAGTGATCCGCCGATTGCCTAACAGCTGGGTTCATATTTATTGCTAGGTAAACAGAGGTGTGTGGATTAAAGAAACTTGCCCACCATTACGCCTTGCCGGGAATCGAACCCAGGTCTCTCGCTCGCCCTAACCACTGAGGTACAGGACTCCACTTCTCTCTGTTCAGTTTAACATTTTGTTTGAAACATTTCCAATGTACTCTTTCTTCACCTGTCCTTCCATACATCATCAATGTAATTTATAACACCTGGTATTCCTTCAAGTAATTTCTTTTGAAATATTTCCTGGGCCGATTTTCTGCCCAAACGCATTCTCTGGAATTCATATCTTCCATATGATGTAAAAAATAATAATAATAATCTTTGCATTTGATATAGCGCCTTATCGAGACATCTCAAAGCGCTGCACAGAATATTCTGTAAAGTGAATTGATTGCTTATTTTGTGCGCAAAAATATTGTCAAGTACACACTGTCAACTTGTTCTGCCAATATCCCAATGAATGTGCAAAGAATTTTGCATCAAGCAATGTTTAAATTTTGTTTTGGTCAACCAGGTATCTGACTCACACGGAAATCCATCACAGCAACAACAACAACTTGGATTTATATAGCGCCCTCCACGCCGGACGGCATCTCAGAACATCACCATGCTTAACAGCCTCCAAATCAATCTGAGAACTCCATGAATCCCTTCTACACATGGAAGAGATAGATTGTTGAAATGGAATCGCACTCTCTCCCTGGTGGGGCGCAACCTGTTTACCTAATTAGAGTGTGCGTTGGGGTAACTGCTGGAGTCCGACAAGCAAAATCGCATAGCTTGCCATTGATATTGTGGGGGCAAGCGTTCCTGCTGCTTATTCAGCTTGGACCACCCTGCATGTTGGGGCTTTGCCTTGTAGGGTTAACAGGAGCTGAGTGGGAGGATTCCCTAACCCCAGTGACTGGTCGGCCCTTCCAGATGCTGCCGATGAGCCAGGCTGTCTGTGCTGTCATGAGCAGTGCCCTGGAATACTGTGGACTCACTCGGCTGAGGAAACGAACTGGAGACCATCACAGAGGGTTGGCTCGATGCTGACATTCCATTGCCAGGCATGTCACCTTGGTGCCAGATAAGTGTTCTCATTTTATGGCCTTGTTTAGTTGTCGTGGGTCTATACATATTCACGACTTATTTGTTATTTCACTCGACATTTTTACACAAATTCCAGGAAATGTTATTTTGTTGCACGTTTGTGCAGGAATCACAGCAAAAGCAATTTTGTTCGACATTTGTACTGAAACCACTCAAAATTTCAATTTCACTTGACATTTTTACAGACATTCCATGACTGGACCAGGCTGTCACACACAGTGACTGAGCCAGGCTGTCACACACAGTGACTGAGCCAGGCTGACACACACGGTGACTGAGCCAGGCTGACACACACAGTGACTGAGCCAGGCTGTCACACACAGTGACTGAGCCAGGCTGTCACACACAGTGACTGAGCCAGGCTGACACACACAGTGACTGAGCCAGGCTGTCACACACAGTGACTGAGCCAGGCTGTCACACACAGTGACTCAGCCAGGCTGACACACACAGTGACTGAGCCAGGCTGTCACACACAGTGACTGAGCCAGGCTGTCACACACAGTGACTGAGCCAGGCTGTCACACACAGTGACTGAGCCAGGCTGACACACACAGTGACTGAGCCAGGCTGTCACACACAGTGACTGAGCCAGGCTGACACACACGGTGACTGAGCCAGGCTGTCACACACAGTGACTGAGCCAGGCTGTCACACACAGTGACTGAGCCAGGCTGACACACACAGTGACTGAGCCAGGCTGTCACACACAGTGACTGAGCCAGGCTGTCACACACAGTGACTGAGCCAGGCTGTCACACACAGTGACTGAGCCAGGCTGACACACACACAGTGACTGAGCCAGGCTGTCACACACAGTGACTGAGCCAGGCTGACACACACAGTGACTGAGCCAGGCTGTCACACACACAGTGACTGAGCCAGGCTGACACACACAGTGACTGAGCCAGGCTGACACACACAGTGACTGAGCCAGGCTGACACACACACAGTGACTGAGCCAGGCTGTCACACACAGTGACTGAGCCAGGCTGACACACACAGTGACTGAGCCAGGCTGTCACACACAGTGACTGAGCCAGGCTGACACACACACAGTGACTGAGCCAGGCTGTCACACACAGTGACTGAGCCAGGCTGACACACACAGTGACTGAGCCAGGCTGACACACACAGTGACTGAGCCAGGCTGTCACACACAGTGACTGAGCCCGGCTGACACACACACACACAGTGACTGAGCCAGGCTGTCACACACAGTGACTGAGCCAGGCTGACACACACACAGACACACTGAGCCAGGCTGACACACACACACAGTGACTGAGCCAGGCTGACACACACACACAGTGACTGAGCCAGGCTGTCACACACACAGTGACTGAGCCAGGCTGTCACACACAGTGACTGAGCCAGGCTGACACACACACAGTGACTGAGCCAGGCTGACACACACAGTGACTGAGCCAGGCTGACACACACAGTGACTGAGCCAGGCTGTCACACACAGTGACTGAGCCAGGCTGATACACACAGTGACTGAGCCAGGCTGACACACACAGTGACTGAGCCAGGCTGACACACACAGTGACTGAGCCAGGCTGTCACACACAGTGACTGAGCCAGGCTGATACACACAGTGACTGAGCCAGGCTGTCACACACAGTGACTGAGCCAGGCTGACACACACAGTGACTGAGCCAGGCTGTCACACACAGTGACTGAGCCAGGCTGTCACACACACGTGACTGAGCCAGGCTGACACACACACAGTGACTGAGCCAGGCTGTCACACACAGTGACTGAGCCAGGCTGTCACACACACTGTGACTGAGCCAGGCTGACACACACACAGTGACTGAGCCAGGCTGTCACACACAGTGACTGAGCCAGGCTGACACACACAGTGACTGAGCCAGGCTGACACACACAGTGACTGAGCCAGGCTGTCACACACAGTGACTGAGCCAGGCTCTCACACACAGTGACTGAGCCAGGCTGACACACACAGTGACTGAGCCAGGCTGTCACACACACAGTGACTGAGCCAGGCTGACACACACACAGTGACTGAGCCAGGCTGTCACACACACAGTGACTGAGCCAGGCTGACACACACACACAGTGACTGAGCCAGGCTGACACACACACAGTGACTGAGCCAGGCTGACACACACACACAGTGACTGAGCCAGGCTGTCACACACAGTGACTGAGCCAGGCTGTCACACACAGTGACTGAGCCAGGCTGACACACACACACAGTGACTGAGCCAGGCTGTCACACACAGTGACTGAGCCAGGCTGTCACACACAGTGACTGAGCCAGGCTGTCACACACAGTGACTGAGCCAGGCTGACACACACACACAGTGACTGAGCCAGGCTGACACACACACAGTGACTGAGCCAGGCTGACACACACAGTGACTGAGCCAGGCTGTCACACACAGTGACTGAGCCAGGCTGTCACACACAGTGACTGAGCCAGGCTGACACACACACACAGTGACTGAGCCAGGCTGTCACACACAGTGACTGAGCCAGGCTGTCACACACAGTGACTGAGCCAGGCTGTCACACACAGTGACTGAGCCAGGCTGTCACACACACAGTGACTGAGCCAGGCTGACACACACAGTGACTGAGCCAGGCTGACACACACACACAGTGACTGAGCCAGGCTGTCACACACACAGTGACTGAGCCAGGCTGACACACACACACAGTGACTGAGCCAGGCTGTCACACACAGTGACTGAGCCAGGCTGACACACACAGTGTGTTCAAGTTCAAATTTCAGTACAAATGTTGAGTAAAATTGTGTTTGATGCGATTTCTGCACAAACATGCAACAAAATAACATTTCATGGAATTTCTGCGGATATGTGAATCACAAGCAGGGAATACCTCAAAAATCCCGATAGAGGCAGACCACAATACAATACAAAATTATATATTTCACATTGGAGGACGTCCCTACGCGCTGGACAGTGAGGGTGGGGGGGGAGGGACAGTAGGAGAGTGGCCAAAGGCACGGTCAAGGAGGAGGGTCGAGATGCGCCTTGAAGGAGGCAAGGGTGGGAGCGAGGCGGGATGTGCGATGAAGTTCCAAAGGGTGGGCAGAGAAGCTGAAAGCCCGACCACTGATGGCGGGGGGGACAAGGCAGGGAACATGGAGTAGGCCAGGGCCGCTGAGTGGAGGGAGTGGACAGGTTGATATGGGGTTAGCAGGTCACAGAGGTAGGAAGGAACAAGGCCGTGGAGGCTTACTCTCTACTGCCAACAGTCCCGAAGGGAGCAAGCCTGTGGGTTCACAGTCTCTGTCAGTCTCCTGCAACCGCTCTGACAGGCACTCACCCTCACAATTTGCCCTGCTGTGTGCTCAACTTGGTCAGCCATGTGGTCTTGGCCTCAGGCTTCTTCCCTCGGCGTCCTGGTTCAAGGGCTCTTTCTTGAAGCCCCAGAGACACAGACATGGGGCCTGGATGGTTTACCCAGAATGTGATAGTGTTTTTCTGAGTGAGCTCGGATTACAACTATATGTGTACATGTATGAAGATGACACCTAACTCTATCTCTCTGCCTTCACCCTCGACTCCAGGTCCACTGCTGTCCTGACAGAATGTCTGTCAGACATCAAGTCCTGGATGAGAGCCAACTTTCTACAGTTGAATGTCAACAAGACCGAGGCCCTCCAGATTGGCTCCCGTTAGCTCCTCCATACATCAGGCACTGACAGCATCACCATCCATGGTTACACACTCCACTTTACTAAGCCAGTCCAGAACCTTGGCATCTTGTTTGACCCTCAACTATCCTTTCTACCCCACATCCGTGCCATGACACCCTTTGCCAGCCCCCACCTCTGCAACAACACCCGGCTCTGCCACTGCCTCACCCCTCAGGCCGCCAAAACCCTCATCCACGCATTCATTACATTTAGACTCAACTACGCCAACACCCTGCTTGTCGGCCTTCTCAACTTTTTCCTCCACACACTGCAGATCATCCAGAACTCTGCAGTTCGTATCCTCTCCCTCAAAAAGCTCCATGACCCCCTCACCCACACCCCGCCTGGCTCCACTGGCTCCCCAACCCCCAGAAGATAGAGTTCAAAATCCTCATCCTCGCCTCCAAGGCCCTCCATGGCCTTGCTCCTTCCTATCTCTGCAACTTGCTGACCCCATATCAACTTGTCCGCTCCCTCCGCTCAGCAGGGTCTGGCCTGCTCCACGTGCCCTGCCAGGCCCGCTCTAACATTGGCGGCCGAGCCTTCAGCCTTTCTGCCTCCACCCTATTGAACACCATCCCACATTCCCTTCACCTTGCTCCCTCCCTTGTCTCCTTCCAGGCACGTCTCAAAACCCTCCTATTCGACCTAGCCTTCAGCCACCCTCCTATCCTCCTTGCCCTCCACCCGCCCCAATCCCCAACTCGGGTCCAAATCCCTTACTGTCCAGAAAGATGTCCTCCCGATGTGACAGGTGCCATACAAATGTAACTTTGTATTGTATTGTATTGCATATAATACGCAGATGAATACACTAACAATTCCAGGAAAGGAGGTTTCTGAAGAGACATCACTTTCACAAGAGACAAGAAGTACTGTGGGGAAGGGACAGTACTTCATGTACACTTTATTCTAACATGTTATTCTTGCTTATTACATCAGTATTTAGGAGGAACAAGATAAGCAAAGAGCACTCCTTGTTCTCAGTGAATAGTGATATAAGAGGATCCATGAATAAGCTTTATCCTGTGTTTGAGTGCAACCATTGCTTTACACGGAAACACTTGAAACACGTTTAATTCTTTATCTGTTGGTTGACACATTCATTCTATGTTTCACATTCCTCAATGAGTCATTGACCAGCCTTTCCTTTATATAAACCAGCACCGGTATCAGCAGTTTACACTGACAGACACGCAGACAATTACTAACAACAGTCAACATTTCTGCTGCAGCAACATGAAATCCTTGCCAGCTTTTGCTCTTGTTTCCATGTTCCTCGTCTGTGCTGTGGGTAAGTTCCTTTGTGGATTTTGATTTCTAACATTAGGTTTTTTATTTGCTTCTATTTTATAGGTGTTAGTCTGTACCTGCAAAACACAGCCTTTCCACTTTAAGATGCGCTATTGTATAATGTAAAAATATCCCAGGTTGGTTTGGGTCAGGACTGTGGGGGACATAAGCTGAGAGAGAAAAATAAAAGAATTACAATATTGGACGTAAGATGATTTCTGAAAAGCGTAGCACAGTTGAAGGTGATTGGGTCTGAAAGGACTGGTAGTCTTATCAACTCGCCCCTTTAACTGCTTCGCGATACTGCATTTCCAATAATGATAATTCTAATGAATGATTATTATCAGTGCCTTGGGACGTCCTCCCGACGTGAAAAGCGCTCTATAAGTGTAATTTTGTTGTTGTTGTTGTTATCATTATCAATTAACTCCCTTTTTTCCAGTAGTTGATTACGCACTTTGTAAAGAAAGAAATTCTGGTATCTGGCCTGAAATTGGCCTTTACAACTCAAAATACTTACAGGCTGCCGGGTCAAAATGTGGATTCCGCGCCGACCTCAAACAGACTACCGCACATCCTCACTCCAACAATCTTCGCACCCGTCCTCCCGAGGAGCAACATCAACATCATCGCAGATGGCAGCAGGGGGAGAGGGGGTGGTGGGGGTGGCGGGGCTGAGAGAGGAGAGAGCGAAGGGGACTCGTCTCTGTGTATTATCCTCCTGATGTGAAAGGCACTGTACAAATGTAATTTTGTATTGTATGAATATGAAAAATACAATAAAACAAGAACAACAATTTACATTTGTAAAACACCTTTCACATCGGGAGGACGTCCCACGGTGCTGAACAGTTAAGAGATTTGCACGCGAGCTGGGGTTGGGATCATGTGAAGACTGGGAGTAGGAGGGTGTCTGAAAGCACAGTCGAAGAGGAAGGTCTTGAGATGGGCCTTGAAGGAGGCAACGGAGGGAGCAAGGTGGAAGGACTGTGGGATGGAGTTCCAAAGGGTGTGGGCAGAGAGGCTAAAAACTTGCTCTCCGATGGTGGGGTGGGATGGGATGGGCGGCGGACATGGAGCAGATCGAAGCCCGCTGAGCAGAGAAACCAGGAAAGACAACAGGAACATTCAAATAAAACATTTAGAGAATATAAAACAGGTTGAAAAGTACATGAAAATGATTGTTCTGGAAAATGATGGGTCTGAAAATTTCCAGTTTGAAACCTTTGCCTTAGTGTCACCAGCCAGCTCAGTACTTGTGTATTTGTTATGTGTGGATCATAACAAAATCCAACTTATATATAACTTTACATAAGTCATATATGGTACGACTTGTGCAAGTTTGACACACTTTGCATAAGTCATATTAAATTTATGGTCCCAACTGATTTGACTTATGTGAGGTTTCCAGCGTGACCCAGAGAGCAATGATATCTTTCAATATGAACATAAAGGAAATTAAAACTGGGAGAGATTATATTATTTGTATAAATGGAGAGGGGGCAAGGTGAAGGGATTGAGGGAGGGAGTTCTATGTAAAACACAAGGATTGTTATTATATTTGTTTTGATGATTAAGTAATTAACCTAACCTTTTTTTAACCCTTTGCATAATTTTAAAGAGGCCAGAAAATATGTCACAGTCATTGAGGTAAGATGATCTTTAATGTTTTAGGTAAACCGTGTGCCTTAAACTTTCATTTTACTTTGTGCGCATTTCTTTTTGAACAACTGCAGTGATTGTGTTTTCTATTCCAGCCAAACTGTGAGAAGTACAGAGAAATGTTCCCAGCTTGTCCACTGAACTTCCGGCCTGTCTGTGGATCTGACGGTGTGACCTATGACAATGAATGCATGCTCTGTTTCACTAACTGGTAAACATAAACACATATCTCTGCTTTCTTTAAGAGCAGTTCTGTGTTCTTTAAGAGGAGCTGCCGTGTGACATAAGTAAAATGGGAAATGTTTGAACATCAGCAGCGCAGCAATGCAAGGCAGATAGCATTGAGTTAAAGTATCCGACAGTGTTACAGCACACACACAAACCAACCATTACATCCATCACATCCGCAGTGATGTAATCAGAATCGTAAAATCTTACAGCAAAAAGGAGGGCATTTGACCCATCGCGCCTGTGAATAGCTACCAACTCCCCCGCTCTTACCCCATACCTTGCACGTTTTTCGTTTTTAAGTATCTGTCCAATTCCTTTTTGAAAGCTATTAGCGAATCTGTTTCCACCATCCTTTCAGGCAGTGCATTTCAGACTGTAACAACTCTCTGGGTAAACAAAATTCTCCTGGTCTCCCCTCTGTTTCTTTTGCCAATTATTTTAAATCTGTGTCCTCTGGTTACTGCCCACCTGCTAAAGAAAACAGTTTCTCCTTATCTACTCTGTCAAAACCCCTCATGATTTTGAACCTCTGTATTAAATCTCCCCTCAACTTTCTCTGCTCAAAGGAAAACAATCGCAGCCACTTTCGTGTCTCCACATAATTGAAGTCCCTCATCTCTGGTATCATTATAGTAAATCTCCTCTTCACTCTCTCCAAGGTCCTGACATCCTTCCTAAAGTGTGGTGCCCAGAATTGGACACTTTACTCCCTGTTCTTATACTCTGTCTCTATTTATAAAGCCATGGATCATGTATGCTGTTAGAACAGCTTTGTCAATTTGTCCTGCACCCTTCAAAGATTTGTGTGTGCGAATCTCCAGGTCTCTCTGTTCCTGCACCAGGTCATAAGCCTCCTTTTCCTGTTTCATTTTAATCCCAGTTTATTTAGTCATCAGGGAGCACAGCTTTGGATGCCCCACATAGGAATGTGTTCAGTTTTGAAGATGCTTAAAATCAAGCAGCTAAGATCACTGCACAGCAATGCGTGTTTAATTTTGTAATCCTTGCATTTGATATAGCACTTTTCACGCCTTTTCGACGTCTCAAAGCGCTTCACAGAATATACTGTAAAGTGAATTGACTGAACATTTGTGGGCAAAACGCGGCAGCCAATTGTGCACAGCAGTGTCCCACAAACAGTCGTGGATTGAAGTGACCAATTCATTATTTTTTTGAGGAATTATTATCAGGCGTGTGGAGTAAGGAAACTTGCCCAAGGTTTCTCCCTGACCTGCCGGGAATCAAACCCAGGTCTCTCCTTGCAAAGCGTTTACACATTATGCGTGTAAACATAAACACACATCTCTAGTTTCTTTAAGAGCAGTTCTGTGTTCTTTAAGAGGACCTGTTATGTGACATAAGTAAAATGGGAAATGTTTGAACATCAGCTTGAACAACAATCATATTAAACAACAATTCAATTAAGATTTTGATTTCAGCACAACTGATGTTCTCTACATTTCAGGAAACTCAAGGAAGATGTTGTTATTGAGAAGCTTGAAGAATGTTGAGCTAAATCTCACAAGAATCTAAGCAGTCTCCGGGTAACCAGGACATCTGTGAATCCAAATCACATCAATTCTCATCAATTCTAGTTAATCACCATTTGTTTGCAATGATTAGCCAAGTAGACTATTTACAAAATGTTGACTTGCATAGACATTTTACTAAAAAGTTTTGCACTGTGAAACAATACAATGTACAATAGTTTAACTATTTAAGTTAGTGATGTTCACACTGGTCCTATCCAACTCCTCTTTTCTAACAGCCATAATAAATGAGTCTTTGCACCTCACTGATTTTACAAATGATCTGTTATTTTTCAATGATTTCTGTTTTGAAGCAGGAAGTTGGACCAACATGTTTTCCGCTGAGCCTCAGCCTCCTCCCCACTCTGTGCAGGTCCAGCAGTGACTCTAGTCTCTATCCCAGTGGTCAAGTTTGGCCGGGGCCTGGAGATGACTTGAAGTTATCAGAGCCCACACGCACTGTTTCCTCAGCTCATTGCCTACACATAATCACTGAACCCTTTCCTCTCCTTCCCCCACACTCTCCCCTGCCCCACAGACATTCTTCACAATCAGCATTTTTTGGGCTGTACAGTAAAACTTGCGTAAGTCTGATCTGTATAAATTGTACAATCTGCCCAAGTCCCGTTCAATTTCCTATTAAATCCACTTAAATTTACCTGCACTAGTCGTATTAACAGTCACACAACTCGTAACCCTGCTACCTCACTAACAGTAACAGTTTCCTGTTCTGTACTGCACATGTACAGAAGATGAGGGTTTGACCAGTTGTTGTTGGATGAGGGGGATCAGGCACAGTGAATTGAGGGTTTATGTCTGACTTAACATATTCTTAAGAAGTGATTGATGATTCAGTTAAAGTGTTAATACTGTAGTTCTTTGTAAGAGTGTATATTCTAATAAAACAGTTCTGTTTTGAAACTTGTTTGGTTTTGCTATTCATTGTACAATATACATTTTCTGCACATGAGGATCGGTATTGTGCAGAACTGCATATAGAAAGAATATGTGATCATTGCTTTAATATGCATGGGTTAAACATGGAATATTGCCTTAATGTCATCAGCCAGTTCAGTACTTGTGCATTTATGTTATGTGTTAAGTCATACAAAATTTGACTTATACATAACTTTACATAAGTCATATATGATACGACTTGTGCATGTTTCATATAACTCATACTTTGCATAAGTCATATTACAAGTATGGTCCCAATTGTTAAGACTCATGCAAGGTTTACTATACTTTGCTCTTCCATCATGTTTAATGGAAACATCATAAAGGTTAAAATTGGGCACATAAAATAACAATAATGACAACAATAATAGCAGAAGAGTCAACAACAGCAAAGCCATATCCTCTCAAAAAGTATTGGTTTATTATAAACATATTGGATAGCACAGAAATTGAAATTAAAATTGATGATTTAAAGGGATAATTAAATAGGATTTTACTCCGCACCCCATCACACCAGTTCTAGCCATGCTACACTGGCTCCCTATCGCTGAAAGGATCGATTTCAAGAGCCTCACACTAGTTTTCAAATCTCTTAGTGCCCTGGCACTTCCCTACCCCTCTGACTTGATTATCCCCCAACCAACAACCCGCTACCTCCGCTCAACTGGCTCCAGCTTCCTATATGTCCCCCGTGCCCTCCGTTCCACCATTGGTGGCTGCGTTTTCAGCCGCTACATCCCGAAACTCTGGAATATTCTTCCTCTATCCCTCCGCCTTGTCATTTCCTTCCCCATCTTCAGGTCGCTCCTGGAAATCATCCTAATCAATGGCCACCCCCGCACTCCCCGCAGCTTGGCATCGTCTGAGTCTCTGCCACTGTCAAGCGCTGTGCGACACTGCCCTGCATGAGGGGCGTTATATAAATGCAAGTTTTTGTTTACCAAATGTGGAGATCTCAAATGGTACACACAACTGAAAGCCTTGGTGCTGAATTCAGACTTGAGCTATCACAACTGAATTGGTGATTGCAAATTTATTTGGACTTTTTATAATGTACTAGATGTACCCGTTGCAAATTCATTTGCAACCAAAGGATTCACTATGAAATGTAGATTGACACAGGCAGACACACAGACAGATATTTTGTTTAGGCATTATCCAAGGTCCTGGAATGAGTTGTCGCCTCCCAGCTGCGCTCTTTCCTCTCCAACCATTCATTATTCAAACCCCTTCAGTCGGGTTTCCGTGCTGCCCATAGCATGTATTTAGGTCGTACCTCTCCCACCGTCTTCACTTTGTCTCCACGAATGGTTTTTCCTCCGGCCCCCGCACTGTCTCGTGTGGTGTCCCTCAAGGCTCTGTCCTCGGTCCCCTCCTCTTCACCCTCTATATGCTCCCCCTTGGTGACATCATCCACAGATATGGGGTTAACTTCCACATGTATGCGGATGACACCCAACTCTACCTTTCCTCCTCTACCCTCAACTCCACGACCACCGATGTCCTGACAGCCTGCCTGTCCGACATCGAGTCCTGGACGAGAGATAACTTTCTCCAGCTCAACGTGTGCAAAACTGAGGCCCTCCTGATTGGCTCACGTCAGCGCCTCCGCACCTCAGGCGCTGACAGCATCAGCATCCAAGGCTGCACTCTCCACCTCTCAAAGCCAGTCAGGAACCTCGGTGTTCTGTTCGACCCTGAGCTGTCCTTTCTCCCTCATATCTGCGCCACAACTGGCACCGCCTTCCATCACCTCCGGAATGTCGCCAGACTACGGCACTACCTCACCCCTCACGCTGCTGAAACTCTGGTCCACGCCTTTATCACCTCAAGGCTGGACTATGGGAACTCTCTCCTCGCCGGCCTTCCCGCCACCTCCCTCCACACTGCAGGTCATTCAGAACTCTGCAGCTCGTGTACTGTCCCGCACCAGACACCGCGACCACATCACTCCCACCCTCGCTCGCCTCCACTGGCTCCCCATCCCCCAGAGGATTGATTTCAAGATCCTCATCCTCACCTACAAGGCCATTCACGGCCTTGCTCCCTCCTACCTCTCCAACCTACTATCCCCCTACCTACCTGCCCGTACCCTCCGTTCCTCTGGCTCCGGTCTGCTCCACATCCCCCGCCCCAACCGCCCTACCATCGGTGGCCTTCAGCCTCTCAGCCCCGAGGCTCTGGAACTCTATCCCCCAGTGCCTTCGCCGCCTCCTCCCTTTCCTCCTTCAAGGCCGGTCTCAAGACCTTTCTCTTTGACCGTGCCTTCAGCTCCCCTCTCGACTCTCTACCCCCTCCTCGCTCCCTCCCTTCCCTCCCCTCACCCTGGCCATTTCCCCCCTGCTTGGGTACTGACCCAACTGTACAGCGCCTTGGGACGTCCTCCCGACGTGAAAGGCGCTCAATAAATGGAATCTTGTTGTATACTCAGCTGGGAGGACTCCTGTGGGAGGACTCAGTGAGAGAACTCCTTAAATATATTTTCTCTCACAGTCTGTCTCAGTCTTTCTATCTCTTAGTGTCTCTCTCAGTCTCTCTGAGTTTCTCTCTCTCTCTCTTAGTGTCTCTCTCAGTCTCTCTGAGTTTCTCTCTCTCTTAGTGTCTCTCTCAGTCTCTCTGAGTTTCTCTCTCTCTCTCTTAGTGTCTCTCTCAGTCTCTCTGAGTTTCTCTCTCTCTCTCTTAGTGTCTTTCTCAGTCTCTCTGAGTTTCTCTCTCTCTCTCTTAGTATCTCTCTCAGTCTCCCTCTCTCTCACACAGTCTCTCCCTCTCTCTCCCAGTCTCTCTCTCACTGTCTATCTCACTATCTCAGTCTCTCTCTCTCTTTCTCTCTCTCTAAGTCTTTCTCTATCACTCTCACAAAACACACAGTCACTACACTTTATAATATATTCTCTCTGCCAGTCTCTCTCTGTCTCTCTCTCTGGCTTTCTGTCTCTCTCACTATTTCAGTCTTTCTCTCTCCCTCTCTCAGTCTCTCCCTCTCTGTCTGAATCTCTCTTACTATCTCAGATTGTCTCTCAGTCTCTTTCTCTCTCTCTCCATCTGTACCACATCAACAAAAACAACAACAACAAAATTACATTTATAGAGCGCCCTTAACATCAGGAGGACATTCCCAAGCGCTGAACAATCAGGTGTCGGGGCTCGAGAATGGACTCTTGCTCCCGTGACAACCAGAAAAAAGTACCATATATTTGTTGCAGAATATCGATGTATTTCTCCAAACTGTGTTTGCTTTCCTCTGTCGCTACATAGTTGCAGAATAAACTGCATACTTCATATTTTGGGGCTTAATTAAAGCATTTTTTATTATGTTCTTCAACGAAAGGAATTCCCCCCTCCCCCCCACGCCAAACAACATGCCTATGACATGCCAGTTGCAAGACCTTTCCGATGAGGTATAAATCATATCTCTATGTCAATAAGTTATTGCGCGATTGTCAGATACACTGACTGACAGATAGACATGTCATTTTATTAGTATGGATTATTTGTTTATAATTGTATTATTTGACATTAAATGTGAAAATAGTGTTCAAAAGGCAAGGATTTCTGTGACTGAGACTTCATATTAGTATCAGTATCTGAGTTTGTAACATTTTGCTGAAATAATAGAGGTAAGAATGGTATTTGTTTGGGTCAGCCGGGTATCTTGAGAGTATCCAAACCAAGCTGAGAATTCCATGCATCCCACCTACACATGGAAATCCCAGAGATAGATTGTTGGAATGGAATGTGTCCTTTCTCCCCAGAGGAACGCCTCCTGCTTATGGAATTCCAGAAAATATTAGGCGCAGGTAAGCAAGAGCCAAGGCTTGGCGACCCCAGAGACCAACTCGCTGACGCCACATAGCTTACCATTGATGTTACTGTTTGTCCAGTGAGGACCATACCCATGAGGGCTTTGGCTTGGAATATTCCGGACCCATCTGACTCAGAAACTGGACTACCGAGACCGCAACAGAGGGCTGGCTCGATTCTGACATTACATTGCCAGGCATGACACCTTGGAGTCAGTTCAACTCTAAGGAGCTTACCCCAAGTCCCGAGGAGGATACTCACAAGTTGGTCGTTCGACGTCCAATAGGCAAAGGTTTGAGCCCTCACTAAGTGGATAGGAGGCCTCAGGAACTCCCTTCTAGCATGAAATGTCTGAGAGCTTTGCCACCATCTTCCTGTTCACATTTCAGACCATGTCCCTTCCTATTGAGCGATGGTCCCACCAGTTGGAGGTGTGGAGTTTAAGCAGCAGCTGCCGGTCTCTCTGCGGCCAATCGGGGTGGGTTCCAGGCGCTGAGCGTATGAACGT